ATGTTCCCACTTCTCGACCACTAGTGCCCATTGGAAATGGCCCTCTTGTGCCTAAATGACTTCCACACTATTCTTCTCGCTCTCACAGCCGACATCGAGATCTTCTAATCGTTTGAACCTCTTTTGAAATGCATCCAAAGGGATGAATTCGTCTAGGCAGTCCCTGACACACGCGTCATTTCGATAGGGAAATTGCTCCTTGGCGACTTCATCTTCAAGCTTGCGCTTCTTCTCATGAGCCAGCACCGCCGCCCGTTCTAGAACTGACGGATTCTGTATGTCAGAACCCCTTGCCGATTGCATCAAGGTGGCTTTGAAACCTTACGCAATATATTCCAGCAATTCTGCACCCATGTCCCTGGCTTGACTTGCTGCCAACTCAATGTCGTCATCCTGAACGTCTTCCATTCCGATGAGCGATTACTTCAATCGCTTTTTGAGAGTCTTAGCTACCACCTCAATGGCGTCGTCCTTCACCTCAACCTTCGCCCATTCAGTCAAGCATGCATCATGCATGCGCTTGGCAGCAACCCACACCTCGTCCCAGATTCTCACTCCTTGCCTCACGACGTAATCATCTCCGGCCAAGAGATGCTTTCTGTGCATCAAGGTGGTCCTCAAGTCAGCGATCTTGGCATTGAGGTCGTCAAACCCAAGCAGGCATTTGAGACTCTTTCTAGCACTTATATTGCTGGCCAAGGAGGGTCCCGAGTTGTCCCCCGTTGACACCTTGAGGTCGGCGAGGCCGGCCCGCGTCCACCTGGCTCGATTCGCTTGTGCTCTGATCGCCCATGCGAGTGGGACATGCTCCGCATACAACCAGCCCTTGGGATCTCCCCAATCCTCGTAATTTTCTTGTTAGTGGGCCAAATCGCATCAAGCTCGACCAGCCGTTAGTAGACTAATCCTATTACATGATAGAATGGGTCCCCCATCCAAAGCCCTATAGAGTTGTCTCAATCACTTCATCGTATTTCACAGAAATTGACCACAACTGCTCTATCTGGGTCCTTAGGGCCCTGATTGAGCAGAGATTTTTTGCAAACATTTTTTGAAAGAAAGCTCCAATTTATCTGGGGAAACATTAGACATATATCATTTTGTCAGCTGATCGTATTGGTACCTCGGTGTCCTTGAGCTGGTCAGAATCCGAGCATTGAGCGATCTATGCAAACGCCCTAATCGTCTGGCCATTTTGCCACGGTATTATGTGCTCCCAGCGAGTTACCAAGGTCCCACAGTGCGCCTCAAAGGCCTGATACAGGGCGCTGAGGTGAAAGATACGCTCTAACGTAGGCAGTACACCTGCACATCCCCATGGAAGCTAATGCGCACCATGTGATTCTGCATGTCGCCCCCAACAACGACTTGAATGGCATTCTCATAATCCTCACGGCCCTCCCCTATTCTCTTCAGCCAGAATGGTGGCACTTCGGCCCCTTTGCAACCCTGCGAAGTCACTTTCCCTGCGGGCATCCAGAATCGGGATCGCAGCCTCCGCCGATGGGAACCCAGAGTGGTCCATTGATCATGGGTGGTCAACGCAGCTGGGTGGTTGCATTCCGCCCCGATGGATTGGTGCAAAAATGTTCTGCCAACAGCCCTGTGGCCCTGGACTCGGTCGGAGTGCACTTGCACAGCATTCTGGCTCATGCGGGTCCGTGCGGAGGGGGTGGCGCGGATTCGCCCTACTCCATGCAGTTAGACGGGTCCTGAGTCGCGTCGTAGTGACATGGGCCTGTCGATTCACGGCATTTCCGTATGTGCATCGGGCGCGATCAGCGGTGTGACTACACATTGTCGATGTGTCACTCTTGCAGCTTCTTGGTCCATCATTGATGTCCCAAAGTATCTTGGCTTGGTTTCTATGACGACTTTTGTGAGTGCGACCTTCGATAGTCCTTTTGCTGCTTATCATGCGGGGCGCCTTTTCGCCACGTTTACTGACCCAATGATTGTGTACATTGAGTCTTATTATTGCCTCATAAAGTGGCGACCCGAATAGCAGGTAATTGTTTGAAAGGCTAGAAAAACGAAGGAAAGAAATGAATTTGAGCGATGATCCTCAGGCCTAAAGGAAACGAAAAATATTATGCTGAGCAACTGTTATTGACGCCTAGCGAGGTGGTCTCCCCACTTGCAATAACAGTGGCATTTTCTTTATCATTTTTGGAGACACGGCCTGCCTTAACAGCCATCCGGTATGACCTTCCCTTGACATGCTCACCCCAGTTTCCCCTAAGCCACCCACGCCCGAGACTGACCATGTCCACAGACCAACTAGCCTGCTGGCATCCTACTGCCTTGTCTCACCCAGTCCCAGCTCACTGCGAAACATCGGGTGACCGCCTGCGGCCCTGCCATCACGACTGCACCCCGCCCCACTTTTCTTCACTCTTCTTGCTATGCCATTCTCAGCCCGGGCTCGATGGTCGTGGCATAGGCCAGCGTGTCTAGCGGTGCCCTGGCTAACAGCCCCATGATTCAAATCCGAAACCCACTGCGCAGTCCCGGAATCGCCATCCTGCCCCAGCCGGCACATAGTGCCACAAGCCTTGGCCCCAAGTCCCTCGTGGGGTTGAAACCTCCCACTGTCAGCGGGCCATAGATCCCAATGAGCACGGCCAACATGAAGCTGATCATGAGCGGCGCGAGCTCCTTGCGCACCATCACCCTCTGCTTATCGTCTGTTAGGGCCATGATGGCGAACATAGTAATGCCTGCGCCCTAGGGTTCCACCCATAGCACACCCAGGACGCTCACTAACTCATCGACGTCCCCGCTGTCCACCTCGTTGGCCCGCACCCAGTCGGGTGCAGGAACGTATTTCCCGAAGAGCATGGCGCTCGCCTAGCTGCCCTCCCCCCCCCCCGTTTGAACCTCCGGCCCTCTAGCCACTGTTTGCGCTCCATCCTCAAAATGTAGGAAAAGGAGATGAGGAAACTCATGGTGCCGCCGGCACCCCCGCCATGCAGTTGCGCCAGCCAGTACCACAACAGCTTGGATGGAAGGAGCTCGCGCTGGCGGAATATGGTCATCGCCAGTGACACGGCCAGGTTGAGGTGACCCCCGGACACAGATGCCATGTAGTAGATCGCCAGCAACACGCCAAAGTCCCAAATCATGGACACGTGCCACAGGTCGCCGTGGCCGCCCATAGCCACCCCTGTATTGAGGCTGCCCACACTAAAGATGACGATCATCATAGTGCCCCAGAACTCCGCAAGGCAGTCATACAAGAGCCGGGCTCCATCGCACTTCGGAGTTTTCTCCAGCAGGCAGCTCACCATTGAGCGGCTGCTCATGGCGTCCCCCGCCCTCATGCACACATTCTCGCCCTCGTTGGCCCTCCGGGAGGTGACGGGGTGGGGTTGGGACGGTGTTCCAGTAATCGAAGGTCCAGTTCAAAGGGCAAAGCCCCTCATGCAGATGCAGTTGTTTGGGCAGCGAGTTGGTATCGTGAATGTCAGAGCGGAGCGAGAAGCGCAGATTGCCTGGGCTCCCTCACATCATCGTTGCAAGTACATCGTACATAGTTATGGTCCAAACTGTTCTCAATCCATCCGTCCATCACAGAATCCTGATCTGCGAACGTCCCAACCAATCTGCCAGCTTCAATCACACTGCCATTCGCTTAGATTCACACCGTATTGCTGCAATTTTCCCTTACGCCATTGGGCAATTCCCGTAACATCTGTCCCATTAACTGTTCTTAGGAGACGTCACTTGGTCGTCACGAGGATCTTCCTCTTCAGATGACGCAGGCCTCAAATTACCGCTTTAGATGGCATTTTGAGTCCGTTGAACTTGCTGCTATGATACGGCTTGCAGTTGGGGTGCAAACGCGTTTATGGGCCCACCACCAGCCAATCGCGGAGGTGCCAGGCAGACGGCCGGTGTGCAACGATGTTCCCGTGCGTGTTGCCGTTGTACTGTCCCAAGGTGGCACATATCGCCATACGAGGTGACTAAGGCGCGTTCCTCCAGTAGTCATCGGAGTGCTGGGCCTGCACTTCGTACAGGTTTGCAGGGGCGGGCGCCCAACGGCGGGCGTGCCATCGCAAGTGGCCGGCACGAGGTACCGGGCGGTGGGCCAGTGTGGGGGGCCAGTTTCTCGTCGACTTCCATGTTTGAAAACCCGGTCCCAGGCCTCCTGGGAATTGGCGGCGAGGGCACGGGAACGTGTAAAGTATAGCGGGAAGTACTGCGTGGCAGCGGCCCACGCAGCGTCGCTCTGGCGTACTGCCCGGAGTCTGCAGCCGGTGTCGGTGTCAGCATAGGTGTCGGCTCGGCTTTGAACACTGTCGAGTGCGTGGCGCCTGCAAGAAGCAGTACAGCGAAATGCATTTGAAGTTGCGAGTTTGGTCAACGAACTGGCGTGGGTTGTGCCCGTTCGACAGTCCGCTATCACTCGCAGGCTCCGATGATGGATGCTGCAGCATTACTGCTAATTATTAATTTAAGAAGCCAAGTACTTGGTACGTGTGCGCGTGGTGTAGTTGGTTATCACGTCAGTCTCACACACTGAAGGTCCCCAGTTCGAACCTGGGCGTGCACATATTTATTCGTGCAAACATTTTTGGCCATTTTTTCCTTATCGGCCACTGTGGCATGCATTCCATCCATTGCAGTTGTCACAGGCAACTCTGACGCAATATGCTTGCACTTGAAAGGCGAGGACCGACATAGCAACAAGTTTGAGTTTCATCTCAACGATTCACATCCAAGTTGTGATCCTCATTCTGGCACGCTAAACAACGATCTCTCCCTTCCGCTCTGGATCCTATCTTTCCCTCTGACTGCTACATTACACTGCATTGATAAGCACTCGCTGCATAACTATTCTGTACTTCATTGCAGTGCTGGCTGCACGAACTGTAAGAACGACCTTGGGTGTGGACAGCTGGTTGTCGCAAGTCGAACACCCTGCCCATCCCCATCTGTAAACACCCTGTATTAACAGCCCAAACACTCAGCCCATAAACTGCCAACCCCAACGTTCATGCATCGCAGCCTGCGTTCTCCTTGTAATAGCTGTCATCGTAAATGTAGTTGGCCATTTGCCAGATCTGCACAGAACACAAACCTATCAAAAGATGCCAGGATAAAGGCCGATGGCCAGTGTGCCATATGCACCATGTACAAGAGTAGGGAGCACACAAGTCATTCCAGCCAGGCAACGTGCCACACTGTGTTTGGGGGCTTTCCTTTTTTTCATAACTGGCCAGGTGCTGTTGCTGAAAATCAAGCACATTATATGCACTCCTTGATCCAATCCATTGAACAGTGTCACGTGGCATGGAAAGCAACTGTTTACTGACAGCCGCGAAATTCATGCAACCATTTGACCCCATTCATTCATTGCCTCATGCTGGTCAAGAGAATCGCCAAGTGGCACACAAAGCATGTGCCAGTTGGCACACACTACAGACAAGCTCTCTCCTCTCCTCATCGATAGATCAATTCCTATGAGCTGCTGGTGTGCCGTGTCCATTACTGCGTTGACAGCACTGCCACAACTGACAACGGACTCTTGAATTCCGTCAATGAGCCAGCAGACACCATTGAAGCAAAAAATCAGATAGGGACGGTGGCCACTATCACCTGACAGGCACTAAGCGTGGCTCGCCATTGTGAGACAACAAGCTGAATAGAAGAGGGTTTCAAGATTATAGACGATGGAGTACATGCACAAATCTGTACTTAATGCCCTCTGCATAGAAGGGCAGACCATCGGTTTGGATACAGTCCGTGCAAAATTTGTGTGCAAGTGCCCACCAGCCAGGCCTGATGCTGCACATGTTGCCAAGAGAACGATGGCAACAGCTGAACCCACAATGTGCTGCTAAAAGGGTCAGCAAGGGCACCAGCCCAACAGCAATGACAGCGCCCTCAAACTTCCGAGCCACAAAGGGGCTGTGGTCACCTGAAGGATGTTGTCTTCAGCCACAGAAGCGACGACCCACTCGTCATTTGGACTCCATGAAAAATCCGACACCTTGGCGGTGTGGCCTCCATGGATGAAGAGCAGCTCTGGAGGCCCATCGCTGTGGTCTTCACTGCTCTGGTATGCACAAGGGCAAGAAACGACAGAAAGGAGCCCGTTAGATCCCCGCTGCCAAAAACTGTCTAAACAATGGAAGGACACAGTTTATATTGTTTTGACATTTACTGAGTGCTTTGGTCGGATTCCTTCAGTTCACGATCGTTGCTGTCTCCATCATATTCTGGATTCCTGTCCTTAATCAAGTCCAGAGAGTCCTAGCTGTAGGTGTGCAACTTGGATATAGCTGGCTTCCTGTGGCCCTGTCTACTGATGCCACTTGTGCGCTACTCTGCGTGCGCAATATGACTGAGCAGGTTCCCCCAAGTTGGGCGCCTGACGGGTCCATGGGTGAAAAGGCATCGAATTTGGGTGTTTGTGCAATGCAAGCACTAAGGACCAGTACCCAGGGCCAGTCAGAGGTATGAACATTGCCCTTCATGGCCAATTCGATCTCTTGTGCGAAGAGAATATCGTGAGATGGGGCATTTGCATGAGACATTGCCCTGCAAATACCTGCTGCTGTGCAGGCACAAACTGCTGCCGATCAAATTCCCATTCATCAAAGAAGCGAAAACAATGCGCATCTGTATTGGATCCTGCACTTTTTGCACCCAGGGAACTGTACACCATCTTCCACAATATTGAAGAGCCAAAATACATATCAAATCGTGTGGCATGTTTTCTTTTTGCGTTAGACAGACAGGCTTCGAGTCACTGGCAAATCTGTGGTCCATCATGAGTTGTCTCCAAGGTTTCCATGTTCTTGCTGGGCGGTGTGAAGAATTGAGATCTGACTCCATTACACAAACTCTGAATGCTTATTTCTGCATCCTGCATCAACTTCAAGGTGTGAAGGCTGGATTTTTTCATGGCTTTCTGATGTCCAACGTCCATGCTATTTCACTCCATCAACAGTTGTTTGTCCCACCTGCTCAGCACCTATTCGGCTCAGGTCCCAAATGATGACCCTCCTGTCAGCACCGCAGGATGCCAGGATGGTCTCATTGGTGCCGCTCCAGCCCACCTGGCACACGTAGGTCATGGAAATGGCAGTCAGGGAAGCGATCCGGACCCACACGGCAAGACACAATCTAATCCAGAAGGGGATGGAGCTCCATGGGCCAAAGACACAAATAACCAGAGCAGGGGATGAGCCACCAACTCCTTGCTGACAAGCATTGTGGGGCCAGACGTGCCTGTGCACTCTGTTGTTCTGTTTGATGACCTGAGAAATAACATGTGGCCATTGATTGCACTGAATTGCACAGCTTTTAGGTCTCCTTGTGTTCAGTTGAGTAAATGTAAGATAACAACGTTAGAGTTCCGAATCGGCACTTGAATCAGAGGAAACACACCTGAAACACCTCGTCTGAATGCCCTTCCAAAGTGTGCAAGCGCTGTGAAAAATTCCTGACGTCATGCAAACCAATCTGCACCGGCACAAACAGTGTGCAACAGAATAAACATTGTGAGACACATAGTAAAGGGAGCGCTGGGTGCTAACATAAGTTTTGTGGCAACCATAAGGGAGGCTGGTGTGAATCCTGCTTGTTACATAAAAACACATCACACAACAGGGCCCTTGCACTAGGGCAGCAATGACAGTTTTTGTGTGCCAACATAATTGCACAACCACAGTCTGGGCTATACAAACAGGGGCCAAAAAGGGTGCAATGTAGATGAGTAGAAATGCACAACAGCGCAAAGGAACAATGCAGATCCAAAAATGAACAAAAGGACAAAAAGAGCGCAAGAATTGTGTGAACGACAGAAAATCGTGGGCAGGTGAGAGTAAACCTGACAAGAGACATGGCCACTCAGGCTGTCAACACCAAACGCCAATCCGCACTAACCAATGTATTACTTCCTCTGTCCGGAAATAAATGAAACAATTTGTTTAAGAGGTTATATTTGTATCATCAACTTGTTAGTTTTGCTTCAAAATTGGACCAAGGCAATACCTACACATTTGCTATGTACTCCCAACTTTTGGTGGACAATGGGTAAGTACCGGCCACATGGCAGTAATTTGGACCCTTGTGATTCAGGCCAAAAAGTCGAGGTTTCTCAAGGTCTGGCTGAACAGCCCCCCACATGGGTCCTTGACCAGGTCGGCTTGCGACTGACGGTGTGCAGCCCAGAATGGATATCTGTTGCTGCCGTCTTGGCGGCAGGTCCACACTGTTTCTACCAAAGGGGGAAGACCACAAAACTGGGTTCTGTACTGCTCGATCCTTGGTCGCCACCGTGGTTTTGATGGCCTGATGAGGACAGCAGCTCCGGATCGGAGACCCAGAAATCGGCGAACCTCACAATCACGGTGTTTTCAGAAAGGGCTCCCACCATGGGCGAGGTCGCCATGGGTGCTAAGACCACCACGGAAGGTTTGGGAGAATATGATCGTGCCCTCGCTGCGTGGCAGCCAGAAGATCGCTGAAACTGGCTGTGGTGGGCACGTGCCGCGAAAAACACTTTGCGCACCATTCACGCCACTTTCAAGGGCGCTGCTGCAACAGATCTTCGCCCATGCCATTGCAAGACACAAGAACGCCACCATAGTGGCACAAGGGGTCTCCAGCAAAGCATCCAAACCCTCCATTGTTAATGTTTGGCGGGGTTGAAGCCTGTTTGGAAAGAGGGGTTGCTTTCATCAGGCATGCACTTGATCGGAGATCTGTGTTGAACACAGAGCTTATTTGGCACGCAAAATCCTGTGACTAGTCTTTAGCCACCAGGAGACCTCTAGGCAGTGGGGGATCCCAGGCATGTTGGTGTGCTGCCATTGAAAATGGCAGGGATTGGAGCGTACATCGATGGCAGTAAGCAGATATAGGTGCCATTTCTGTCGATCGTGCATTGCCAAGGGTGTCGATCTTTGGCCTAGAGCCCGAGCGCCGAGGCAACTCCAAATTCGGTGTGGCTGAACACAGTGCTGATCTGTTTGGGCAGTGCCATACCGTTTTGTCTGCTGAAGCTGTGGCAAGGATCCACTCACTGCTGGGGCAGAAGGCAAGGCTGTTCACCTCAGCTGGATGGGCTTGAATACTCTGATGCAGGCCTGCAATTGCAAATGGCAAAACATTGAGTGGCTAATTCTTTAGTTGCACTTGCCCAAAGCTAGCAAAGCATTTGTCTTGCAACCTTGAGGCATTGACCAACGCAAATACGTGCACAATTCACACTGAAGTAGGACTCCACATCGATTGCATTTGCCATGTCAATGTAACAAAGCCAATGCACCTTTGGCGCAGTTCCAAGCTATGATGGGGCGACAGCAGTGTGGATGGCAGACCATCGGACCCTTGGTCAACACAGCTGAAAGCCACACCCCACATTCACAAGGGCATCAGATGAACAATTTGATCGTGCCGGCTGCTTTATGGCTGACTTTGTGCTGGGCTGGACCATGAATCCCTTGGACAGCACATGGAGCCAGTAAACTCCGCATTGACTAGGTTGGCATTTGTGCACATAATTGTGTTCTGCAAGATGCTGCAGACAGGTTGGAAGGAATGTGATCGTCGATGGCAGGAGTGCAGAGGATGTGGAAATCAAGTTGCCAACTGGCAGATCAAAAATCCACATTCGCATTCTGAGATGGGCACTGCCAAAATTGCCCCATAGCCTACATATTCACAGGACTCAGGTAGTAGTCTCATACACAGCAAGCACATGCCAGTCCCAATTTCAGGTTTCCATGCATGAACAAGGACATTTCTATGCACGCATACACATTGATATCATATAGCTTGGACCTACATATTGATAACATATCCTTGAGCGCATTTTCAAGTCTGGTGCCAGAACACCAATAGCTGATGCACCATACTATGCAGAGCGAGAAACAACAACATGACGGTAACAACTGATACAGCAGAGCACAGCAACAGGGACAATCTAGAAGAGTTGTTATCCATTGTCTGCAATCAATGTGTCAGTGGCAATGTGCAAAAGCAACTTGCTCACTCTTCTGCTGTCGCAAGTCCCACAGCATCACGTTCTTGTCATCTCCACAGGACCCAAACAGATAGTCGTACTTGCTATGCCAAGCGATGTCCTGTGTATTACAGGAGAGGTATTCAAACTCTCTGCACTGTCCAAGCAGCAATACGAGCAACACCTTGCATCCCCACGATCGTCCCATCACTGCCTTGTGCTCTAGTGGCCACTGGGATGGCAATTCATGGAAACTATTGATTGAACACTATACAGCACTGATGTGCTGCAAGGTTCAATGCAAAAATCAACGATGTTGCAATGGCAGGTTGTCACCTTCCAAGCAGGAGGCAGCCAAATGACAGTGCAAGAATAGAATACAAGGTTACTTATTTCTAATGTACATTGCAATTATACACCCCGCAGTGACTAATCGTGGAGAAAATGAACCATCCAGCAACCATCTATCCTTGTGGTCTGTTTGCTTGCATCGATGAGCAGCTGCTGGGGTGAGGATGCAACATACTCATCACATACAGTGCAAGAATGCTTCCCTGCAGCACAATGCACCCAGTATGCCGATGGCCCCGAGGCACAAAAGATGAGAATGAGTTTCAAGCTGAAGCTCCATACGGCAAAAGGCTCCTACTCCACCAACACAATCAAGTGTTGGTGGAGTTTCCCACCTCCACAACACCTTTGTGCTCAGCGAAGGTATTCAGGGCATGCAATTCCTGCAGCACAAGAAGCAAATGGCTGTAATGGCTGGAACATCACCTTACGCTTCCCATGCTTGTCAAAGTTCATTCTCCTGGTGCGATAGCACCAACGACTTTGGTGTATGCATGAAAGGGATGTCAAGTAAAACAAATGACCGGTGTGTTCCACCCACTCTTAATGGATTTCTTTATTTGGCGTTTCTAGCTATCTTATGCATGGACAATCAGCATGCTGACCTATGCCAGCATCGCCTTGCCGATGGAAGGCTGTGTTTTGCCATTTTCAGTCAAAGCAGTGAATCAATCAAAGGACCTTAAAATATTTGTTGTGTTACGATGCATATCTGATAACATTGCATATTATTCGTAAACCATTAAAACATTACAATTACTGCAGTTTTACTATTATACTATTGTAGTAGCATTAGTTTCCAATCTATGCTAGCTGTAGTATTGCAAATACATTTGATATTTCTGCAACCATGTTACTACTAGCATCATTATATTGCTGTTTGAAATCTGAGTTTGTAAGAATGCTGCCAGTTGTAATTGTGACATGATCCAGTGAAATTGTAGTTGATACACACAATTCCATGACACGAATTTTCTCGTCCAAGTCCACGGACCTCTCTGAAGCGCCGGCATAGACACACACAGTCGTGGGACTTGAGTCTTGCATCATTTTTCACTGGGTTGACTAAATTGTTCTAGCTACAGACATAGACACATCTTCGTTTGTGTTTTCCCTCCCTTTTCCTCAGAGATCTTATCAACATTGCACACAGGTGGTGAGTGAAGAAATGAATGATGGGGAGGAAAGAATGTATTGGATGCACATGAGCTTGTCATAGCTCAAAGGGTGCAGGAGCCCTACTTCGTCTTTCAATGCAAAATACATTATGCAATTGAGCAAGCTGTGCAAATGGTTTGCTGTGTGCTCAGTGAAGTGCTGGAATATTTGTCTTTTGGGGCACAACGTCTTATGAAGTTTACATTTATGTTTGGACCAATTAATCAACTACTGAATTCAATGAATGATTGGGACCCATGGACTGGCGCTGTGACAGTATACAGAGATGAGCACTCGCTCTGACTGGCAACCAAGCACTTGGGGTGTGCCACTTGGCAGCCAATCCGAGAGGCGGCATGTGGTAAAGGCCATTGCCAACAAAAACTTGTCGGCATCACAGAAAACCAGTCTCTCAAACATCAGCTCAATTTTGTGGCCCTCTGTGCAGCTCACAGAAAGGTCTACACAAGAGTTCTCAAAAAGAGAAGCAGTCCCAGAATCTTTTCAGGGAGGGTGGCAATCAACGGACATGTTCCTGCTTGTCTATACAGCTCATGTTGCTCCCCAGTTCTTTCGCCATTGCAACATACCTTTCCAGGTCCAGTTTCGCCGTTGATATCCCACAAGCAGATCATCTGATCATCAGATCCACTGAGCAGGTAGCCCTCCTTGAAAGGACTCCATGCCAACCCGTAACCCTCTGTTTCATGCCCGGTGAGCTTCAAGTCTGGACGGCAGTTGCGCTCGTCTGGTGGAGGCTTGGCAGGGTGCCGGTCGGAGAAGAACACATACACCAGCGCGCTCACAGTCTTGGTGGCGATCACTGATGGTTTCTGGGGCATGTACCTGACTTGCACCGACAGCATAGGACCCTATGATATGCATCCAAATTAATTGGCAACATCCTTGATACTTCGCCACAGCTTGAGTTGGGCAAAAAGATGGCAACCATCTGCCGAAATTAGCTTGTGAGCTATCGCAAGCGCATATGTCTTCTGTCTGTTTGGGGGGAGTACCTCAAGTCTTTATTCGGATGCAAGACAAAAGAGCAGGTACGCAGGAACCTGGAAAAGCCAGAAACTCATCCCTGTGCTTCCCCTCCTTGCTCTCCGTCACTTGCGAAACCGGGCCCGAGCATCCCAGGATGCTCAACCTTGCTCACTCCATTCACACCGTTGTTGACAGCGTTCCACCTTGGCCAACCCCGCAACCCCATGCACTCTGCTCCCACCTGGCCCTGTTGACCTCCCCGTCGTGCTGGATCTCCTTCACCGTCTGTATGCGCTCGCTGGCGCTCTGCACTGCCCCCAGGTCCACCTGCTCGCCGAGGTTCAGCTGCCGCAGGTCCAGCTCCCCGTCCTCCTTGGGCATCAGCACCTCAGTGACCAGCAGGCTGTTTGGCTCGTTCTCCGACGTGTGCGTCCCCAGGATGAGGCGCTGCCGGCTGCATTCCTGATCTGGCACGTCCTCCCTGCCCTGAACAGGCCACCGCGAGCCGTAAGAGCCTGGCGCTGCTGCGCCAACGTTTCTGAACGGCGATCCAAAACGAAGAAAGAATGAAAGGGGGTGATGATCGGGGAGTTTCGCCTCGTTCTGTGCGAGGATGCAAGGATGCAGGATGCAGGATCCGATGTTCCTTGCCCTGGGAGTGGTAGGCTTGGTTCACGTTGGGGTAGTTTGGTCCCAGGGGTGTGGATTGGTGGCCATGGCAGTCGGCAGATGGGGCAGTCACCATGACAAGCAGGCAGCTCTGCACTGGAGGCGAGGGTGCCCGTTTATGACCGGCATGCACGGCGCGTTGGAGCCACTTCCAAGGAAAATTGCCAGCTCAGCCTTCCGATCGACCAACAGGACTTCAGAGACGTTGATGTCTCATCCGCGCATCTCTTTCACCACCGTTCCGCGAGCTCACCGGCAGCCATTGGGCCGTCAGACTCGGCCACTCCAGCGCGTGGGCGATGACCATATCTGGTCGAGGACGGCCACCGTGGGTCACGCCAGCGATCAAGGCCACCGCCGTGGGCGTGCCAGATGGGCAGCGAGCCATCGAGGCCCGACGTACCGTAGAGGAACGGCGTGTTCTTCTTCCATATCTTGTACTCCTCGCTCATGAGCTTGGCCTCATATTCGTCCGTCACGTACTCGTCGTCTTGGTTCACCATGGCTGCCGCGCGCCCGAGCGAGAGCGGGACTGCACTCCAGGGCGCCTGTCGCTGGTCCAGTTTCTGGCGGCGTGGATGCGCATTTTTAAGCCAAGCAAAAATCACACCGCCAGTGCATTGTATTGTGTGCACCTGTGCACATTGTATTGAACTCAGAAGTGCACGTGAGCCCCTGTTGGGTCGCTGACTGTTCGCCGCTTCGGAAGATTCCGGTGTCTTTTCGTGCCTTTGGCAACGGAGTCACAGACAGATCACTAGGAAAAAAGCAGGCCAGATGACACAGTCCTGACACGGTCTGCTCAAAATCCAACTGTGTGCTTTCGGCAAATGTGGTCCCAAAAGTACACAGTTAGTACACACATTGACACAATTTCAACCGTGTACCCTCAAAATACTGTGTAGACTACACAATTTCCTAAGATGCACGGTTAAGACTGTGTCCATGTGTGTACTAACTGTGCACTTTTGGGACCACATTTGCCGAAAGTACACGGTTGGATTTTGAGCAAACCGTGTCAGGACTGTGTCATCTGGCCTGTTTTTTACTAGTGGATGCCAAACAGTGATGTCCCTTTATCGCCAGGCCGCCCACACAACGCATTCGACATGGCATGCGGCATCCAGAGAATATATTACTCCCCGTTCTTGTTTGCTGAACTTCGGTTCTTGTTCCGCTGACAAGGCCAGTCCCGGTGCGTGGATCAGTAGTTGGGGTTTAGGGTGTCCGAAAACAAGAACCGAAATTCAGCAAAAAGAACGGGGAGTAATTTTATGCCCGACATCCAACGCCTATCCAACGCATTCGACATGTGCCGGCACGACACGAGTACGTTTCACCATCAAGAATTCTTACATATCAAGGCGAGGAGGGAGCCATCAGCTCCCCATTTCGCCCGAACAAAGCAGTGCCCACGAATTATTTCATGAGATGCTAAGGCATTGCCACAATCCAACCATCTGGTTGCTGTCCATCAGAATGCGCAATCTTCGAGTCCAGTTCATGCACGGGCATATTTTAGACGGATTGCAGATTAACACGATTGATTGGAGATTGGTACGATTGGTTGATACATAGGGTGAATCGGATCCGAAAGTGCCGTTTCCGCAGCGCTTTGTGTACGAGCAGAATGCGAGGGAGGAGCTGTAGAGGGGCATGGAGGAAGTTGGGCTGGAGGCGGATTTTGCCAAGGACATCGCGCTGGTGACAGCGACCATGCACGAGGGACATTTCCCAATTTCCGACCTGGACGGCAGCGAGGAAGTAGAGAGGCTGCTAGAGCGACCGGCCATCCGCATGCAACAGTAAACGGGGGACAACAAATGCCTGTGGGAAAAGGCCTGGCCAATGGGAAAGGTCGGCGCTTGATGGTTGTATCCACGCATCGCTAAATGCACCCACAATTCCATGCAATGCCAGGTCAATTTCCTGGGTGAGGACTCCTTAAACAACGACTTGTAGCCGACGTACTCCTTATCTTTCCGTTCTCCTTAGCTCTCTGTGCGTTGTTCTACTGGGCATCAACAGGTAGATATGGGCTTTTACTACTCATAATGCATTGGCCTAAAGGCTGGGATTGTGCACAATGCCCAAATGTCTGAGCATTGCATTTGGGCATCAGAAGAATCCGGTGCACCAATCTTCGCCCTTTGTGATCTATTTGCGCATTTACAATCGCACGATGGGTCTGTGGCGTATCCTGCTCAAAATCTTAATTTTGCCATTCAAAAGTTTCCCTTTATGTAATTATGCATCAACGCAACTGCAAGTTGCGTCAGTGATGTTCAGACAGCGGGCAGCTCATGTAGGAGCCATCTCTCAGAAGAGGCCGGCCCATGAGATTCCATTGTGAGACCTGTTTCTCCGTTGGAAAGAAACATTTTGCAATCGCTGAGTCCACCAGGAGAAATTGAGGGGCCCTTGCTCAGGTATGCAGGCTTTCCTACCAGTTGCCAGGGCTGCCGGCCAAATCACACCACTGGATGACCTATATTTCTTGAGGAGTTGTTTCGGCTGAATTTCATCGAATTGAACTGCCGGGAGAATACCCATCCCGTTCAGGCGACTAGTGGCGTTAGCAATGGCCAAATTTTGTATCTAGTGCAGTGCCCAAACATGCGCACACGTTGCGAGGCGCTCCCGTTCCTGAACCAGGGGCATGTGGCGGCAAAAGCTGATGGATTACAATATTCTGCCGCAATAATCTACTGCAAAGGTGGCCGTCTGACATGGCAGCCACCCGGCGAAAATCAAAAAGCGCCAAGCTTTCGCCTGTCCCACTTTCCAGCTCGATAGGATTTGCATCGAAGGAGATGATTCTATGGTCGTACAGCTCCCTTGCCAACACGTCGCCAGCGGCCCCGCCACGGGAAACCCGGCTTTAATGGGCCTGAAGGCCTTGCACCTGCAGGCTCACTCAGATATCCGGGCATTGAGAAACACACAGGAAGCCGCTTCGATTCTCACAGAATCGCTTGGAAACCCATGCGTTCCAATGGCGAGAATGCAACGGGCGCAATCTATCAAAATCCGGGAGCAAGAGACCTCAAAATCTTGGCCGCGAAGCCATTATGATCGTGCTGCGCGCCATGGCCTATGTGCAAGAGTCGCACACGCGGGGAATGCAACGAAGTGCTTATGGCTTGACAAACGATGGTCCGTTCCGTTCAGCCCCTCCGACACCGGGCATAGCAATCAAAACCTACACAACTTCTATCAGGTCACCTCCACACATAGCAGTTCACATCATTCTCACTCTCCTTGCGCCTCATATTCTGCTATTCGTATCACATTTGAGCATGCTTCCCCAAATCTCACAGTATGCTCTACTATTCCTCACATAACCCCCTTGCAACGCTCGGGTGGCCATCACTTCACTCGTTCGTCACCTTTCCAGCACACACGCAGCACCACAACCTAATCTGTGCTGCGACCTGAAAGATTCGCAGGAATATTTACTCACACCTACTGCTCCGCCTGCCCTTTCCCGCACTACAATGTACTGCTCAGGAACAACGCTGTGACGTCACAGCCACGCCACAAATCTGCCCAGTGGCATTTCTTTGTGGAATTAAAGGACTGATACACTCACCCAGCGCACCAGCATCAAAAGTCCATAACTTTTCATGGCCAAATTCCTGAACAGATTACTGATGTTTCTGTGCGTGGTAGGTTGCATCCCCATTGGGCTGACAAGCCTCACATAAACACATAACTGCATTTACATGAGGCAGAAAATTTGACAAAGATGATATCAAACATGATCCAAACCTGCTGCGAATAAATTGTGCATTGATCAGCCAGAAAATAAGCGTCAGTTTTGGCGTTTTCGTACACGGCAATCCCCAAAAAGCCAGACCTGCATCCAGCAGAGATCTTAGTACTTTCTCAATCAATCGCATCAGGGTGGCAGACATCTGGGTCGCGGACTGCATAGGCTCACAACTGTTGCCACAAACTTCGAGTTGCACGATGACATCAATCGCACCGATTCATCACATTTTCTTGAAACTTGGCATCGTAGTCATCAATTGCGCAGATTGTCTTGTAGACGTCGTATATTGTTGCATCGCGCACCGACGCCCACCTTGCGTCAGTCCCAGTTGACCACATTTGATGAAAAACTTTCGCCGCCGTTGACAAAGCACTCCCATCTGGGAGGGCGTTTGGGACGTGCAATCTCAGCCCTACAGCGTCCCGCTGGACGCTAATGCGGCTGCCCTGTATGCCACTGAGAGTAATCCTGTGCCACTGCATCATCTGCCCGCGTGAAGCCCGTCACCTATCCACGTGAAGCCGTCAACGTGCTGCGTCACCGCTGTTTCCCGCGCCTCTCACCACTCGCGCGTCCCTCATGCCGCAATCCCACGCAGCCCTCGAGGCCTCCACCCGGCCCATGGATCCATCGGCGAAGTTTTGCCACGAGTCGCAGCCATCGCTGGTTCCACCGATAGCCATCGGTGCTCGCAGCCCCTCGATCAAGATCGCCGTTGCGAGCCAATCGACGCGCATTGCTGCCGCCGATAGGTGCAGAACCATCTTCTCGGCAGTGCCGCTTTGGTGGACTCGGTTTCCGAGTGAGGACGAAGCTTCGTGAGCCAACCGCGTGCGTGCAGAGGGGCTGCGCGCGAAGCCCAGTGCGTCACTTCACTTCCTGGGATGCAGGACCTCCGTGGCGTCGGTATCGTGTCCCGTAACTTATCGGAATCGGGCGCACATCGAGATACTGATGCGTCTCGCCGCATTGTCGTCTCCGTATTCTCCTTTTATGCAGGAGCTCGTACCTTTGGAAGAGACTAAGCCTTTTGTATGCTTTTGTGGAATTTCGCCAATCCCTAGCCACCTTTGGAGGCTCAGGTTCGCCAGCCTTACAAAAATGTCGTATCGTATATATTGGCGACCTGAATACTAGGGGAGATTCTTATCATGGTGATTGGGGCTGCTGGGCGAGACGTCCGTCTAGGGAAACAATGGTGAACGTTCTCATGGGCCACTGCACACATATGCATTGCATGGCACCTAAAGGGCTCCCTGGAGGCTTGCGTGGGTGTCTCGCATGTGCACATGATGAGGTGTATCTATCGCCAGGGGGTGAGTTGGATATTTACATTCGACCGTTGGGTACCCAACCGGTGGGGTGAGCACCCATGTGCAGGGCTCACATCCCCCACCCCATCCACCCACCCACCTCAAATCCCACCATCCCATCCACGACAAGCACAAAGTCATGTTCATCCTTACCAACCACGTTAATCCTATAGGGAAGGGATCCCCTGTTTGGCGAATTTTGATGCCAGGGATCAATCAGTACGTTAATCGATCTAATTGCCTCCCGCCCCCTTGCCGCCCCAGAAATGCCCAAGGAAAGCGTTCGGTTGGCTAAGTTGCAGCTGCTGCCCGCACATGGAAAAGAAAAAACAGGGAAATAATGGCGTCTGCTCTACCAAACACTAGGGAAAAAGGGCCAAATAAAACGTGTTCGAACATGTACAAAGTTTATGGGCTTGTGTTACTTTCGTGTTTTTACCATGCAGAACACTGGTGAATGTGTTCGCAAATAGTATTATCTGTTCCTTTTTTGCTAGGTTTAAAGCAGTGGCCGCAATCCGCTCTGCAGTTGTGTTTTTGTTGGTTGGTGTCTTCCGCTCATCTGTGCCACAGTCTCTCATTGCCCGGGAGACTAATTGACCGTAGAGAGCATGTGCAAGGCTGCCACTCACGAACAGTACAATGTGGCATCGACATGAAGATTGGTGCTGAAGCGGGCAGGTGGGATGCTGAGAGCTCAGCGTCAATTGACGCCAACGGTGACAATATCACCCCAACGTGGCGGACGCCATTGTGTCGACACTTACGATCAAGCCTACGTAAATGGGTGGCCGGCTCCGGCGAATTCGTTCACACTGTGTGTGCATTGCGTACGTTCCCGGCAGTGCGGATGAAATTGTTGCGAATGCCTGACAGAATGGCACACTGGAGTACTGCGGACCTGGTGTCACAGATCACAAATTGTGAGGAGTGCTGACAGAAGTCTTCACACAGAACCTGGTCATTCACAGGGCAGCCACATCCGCGGGCCACGCAAAATACTTACGACTGCGCCCGCGAGACGCCGGCTGGTCGCCTCGAAGCACGCGGCCAAAAACTCAGCTCCCCACCCCGCCCCGCCCGGTGACCTCAGCCCGCAGATGGCCGAAAAGCTGCTGGTGTTCGGGCCGGCCGGCAACGTCGGCCGGCAGATCCTCCCCCACGTCATCTGCAATCCCAAGTTCTCGGTGTGCCTGGCCTACCACAGGAACAAGCCCGCACAGTGCGACGATCCCGGAGTTGAATCTGTGCAGGTGGGACCCGAAATAGGGGAAACAAGAACCTTGATGGCCTTTGGATGCCGTCTACTCGGTAACTGACCGTCAGCAACGGACCAGCGACAGGCGGGGCGCCAGTTGCGGGACCTCCCCTCGCCGTCCCTCACGCCCCGGTACAATTGCGTCATGAGCTTGAGTTCCAGAAGCAATAAATGCTGTTGCGCCAGTGTCTGCTGCCGAAAGGGTATGTAAGCCGAGGACTCGGAAAGGTGTGCCAGCGTTCCCAGCGCGCTGGGGGCAAGGCGCACGTCCGCAACGGCATCCTCCGGGGCTTGTGGCGAACCTGATGGACTGCAGTTCCTCCTGGACGAGTTGCCACCTGCTTCGCAATCAAAAATGCTCTCGCTGGGCGCCCCGCTGTTTACTTGAGCACGCGGCGGTCACTTTCTCAACCTGTTGGAGCCGGCTAACAAGGTTGCTTGCGAGCAATTGCGACCGGTGGACCTTGACTGCTCACGAGCGGGCCACCCAAACCCGTTGCAGGTATCCCTGGAAGACCTGGGCAGCGTTAAGAAGGCCCTCAGCTGGCTGCCGGACCGCATCGTCTTTATGGTCAATCTGGCGCCGGGGACGCTGCCCATGGCTCAAAACTTCGTGGCCGCCTGCAGGGCCGTGTCGCCCAGCGTCAAGCAGATCGTGTACGTCTCGGAGTGCGATTGCGACGAGTACCTCCGCACCGAAACGGCATTCTACAAGGACCAGTGGGACACCGTGCAGTGCGTGCTGGAGTCTGGGCTGCCCGTGACGAGGATTGAGCCGGCGTGCTTTATGCAGAACATCGACAGCTTTTTCGGAGTGCCGAACGAGTTGGCCAAGGGCACGGGGACGCTGACCATCGGGATGGAGACCACGACGCCCCTGGCTTGGATCGACACCCGAGACATAGGGGAGGCGGTGGCGAGGGTGCTTGAGAGGGACGCGGGCCAGGAGGTTGGCAAGCGATATCGCCTGGTTGGCGATTATCGGAGCATGGGGGAGATGGCGGAGATGTTGTGCGGCGTCCTGAATGAATGCGAATCCAAACCGAAGGTGCCGTATCCGAAGAGGTTGGTGTACGAACAGAATACGATGGAGGAGTTGCAAAGGGGTATGGAGGAAGCTGGGCTGGAGCCAGATGTTGCCAAGGACATGGCGATTGTGTCGGCGACCATGCATGAGGGTCATTTTCCAATCTTCGCCGTGGACAACAGCGAGGAGCTTGAGGGGCTGCTGCGGCGCCCGGCCACCCGCCTCCAGCAGTACTTGAAGGACAATAAAGGCCTGTGGGAAAGGTCCTGGGCCAGTGGAAAACTTGACATTTGATCATGGGATGCAACGATCACTCATGGCGCCAACTATCTTGTGGATTTCCCTGCCATTGTTCCGGATGGGGACTCCTAAGGCAACAAATTGTAGTGGACGACCAAGGGGCTGTCCATAAAGAACTTTATCCTCCCATCCTTCTTTGCTCCCTATGTGCCATTCGTTATGGTAAAGACAGTGATTTATGGGTATTCTACCAACACAGCTGTGCCCCAGTCATCATTGGGATACTGCACATTCTCACACCTGGTGCCCCAATTTCCTACACGCGCTGATCCAACAGCGCGTAGTCAACGCTATGCAGAGGCCCGAAAGTGCGGGCCCAAATTCATGAGCTAACATGACTCATGACTCCTGATCTTGTTGTGTCAAGCGCTAATCCCACTGCATGATGCAGCAATGATGGACAGAAAACGGGTTACTCATGTGGGACCCATTTCTAAGAGGCTGCCAGCTGCAAATTCCACAATGAGGCCCTTCCTTTTACTAAGAATTTGTTAATTGCCAGTCTCCGAACCCATGAGGGCGAATTGAGATTCCTGATAAATATTTCGCAACCCCGAAATATTGGTTTTCCCAATGGATGTCAGCATTGCCCATCATACAACACTGTTGGCCTTTTCTAATTTGTGGATGCGGTGCGAGTTGCCACAGTAGCTGCTGACTGCGATCAAACTGGACGGTCTTATTATCCCCAATACCCAGAAAGGCGGAAGATGACGTGAGCAGTGGCCAAACGCCGATTCCAGAGCAGTTCCAAATGCACCCATTTACGGATCAGGGCGGCGCAACTCCTGAGCCGGAGGCATGTCACATGAAAAGATGAGAACTCACAAAAGCCACTTGCAGCGAATAACGGAAGAGAGGCAAACAGTCTACGGTCATCTACTGGCATATCGCGTAAAAAGATAATGACTCACAAAAGCCACTTTCAGCGAATAACGGAAGAGAGGCAAAGAGTGGCATGGTCAGCGGCATGTGCAACGTGTTGGCCACTCAAGGATACCCCTGGAAACTTTTATGGGTGCCTCGCTCTGGTACACATCAAGTTGTCTTGATGGATGGGGGCCGGCCTGCACCTAGCCATGGTGCGAATGGGCATACATGTGCAACTCAACAATTTCGCCGTGCTGTGCCACCCAGTTGCGTTCGAAAGCAGGCCGTTACAGGGCTGGTAGGGATCGGGTATTTGCGCCGCAAACGCAAATCTCATTAACACGCTTGTGGGGAAAAAGACGTAAATACAACATATTATGTTGAAAAAGACGTAAATACAACATATTATGTATTTATTAAATACATCCCCGTGTACATAAGAGCAATATGTGCAGAATTAGGGAGTCCGGGAGTGACAGTCAAACGCGCTGGAATGGGCAGAAAGTTAACTTTTATTCCACGCAATCGTTGTACTTGCCGAGGGCGAGGTGGACACTGTGTTGTGGATGCTGTATACGGCAGAGGACTGACCGTGGTAAGCGACTTTCATCGTGTAAAATATGTGTCCGAACGAGCCGCAAAAAGATAAAATAGCCATAAAAAGATCCCCTTCCGCAAATTTGCATTTTATGCAAAAAAATCTAAAATGTAAATAAATACAATACCAAGCCTGGCGGCGCTATAAATTTGAACCAGCTGAAATAGATTTGATTATCTTGGAGTATGTCTGTTGAAAAATTCCTTTCTGATTTGTTGCACCAGTAGAAAATAGTCTGTTTGCGATGCCAAATGCGTTTCCATTTGACACAAATTGATGTTACTGCAGCCACTTTTATGCCATCCCAGCCACTGTGACGGCATAATTATGTGTCAAAATGGCATCGCGGCTAGCATCGCAAGCATGCTGTTTACTCCAAGTAAATTTACTTTTACACCACAAGATACCAACTCGAATGCGTGGATCGCCAACCCACCTAACCTTGACACAAGCCATCCGCTGCACAGCTCTAATATTGACACAGCCTTCAGCTCACAGAGTGGTGGAATGTCCCACACTGCGCACATCCAACTGAACGATCACCACGACAACGCCCGGAAGTCATCGCTGGAAGGTGCCTCAGTCGGGATGCAAGGCGCTGAGCGGGGGGACGTCAAACTGCAGCACGCGATAGCAACGCCGGGCGCAGTGGCACCGCCCAGTACCCTGATTCCGCATCTTCTGGCGGTCTACACGATCTCGGCCACATCCTTAAGTCTTTATTTTAGATGATGTTTATTTTTCCCGTTGTTCATATTTGTTGACAAGATGTCATCGTACTTTATATCTGTATGGTGCATACCGAGCTTGTTTTCACAAAAACTTGTGGCGTAAGATTGTTATTCAGCTGGTTGGACAGAATACTGTCTAGCCAGCATGTCCTACGCACGACATGTGAGGAACAACAGGCTTCCTGATTCGGAGATTGGATGGCGATGATTCTGTAATTGGTAGAGTGATGTTGCACCAGTACTGGTGGTCTGCTAGTAGTTTTGTGCTCGCACTGCTGATGCTATGCAGTCGCGCACCAACGACATTTCAGGGTGCACCAACTTGGTCGTTGAACGATATTCAGAAAGCTGGCGGTTCATGTAAGACATATTTTAAACAGGAGGCCCCAAACTGCGAGTCGCACTATATAGTGCATACACGCGACCTTTTCTTCCGCCGAAAAACAAAGATTTGGCAATCTGTAAATCCTCCAGAAAAGGTTGAAAATCCCCAGCACAGGGGTATAGGGTTTTCCCCTAGATGTCAGCGTTTCCGGCGATATCCAACTGCAGGCGATACTGTATTTGTGGAGACAGTTCGAAAGTGATAAATGATCGCAAGGCAACCAATAACGTTGGCAATGGCTAAATTTCGCTTCCGCTACCTCGCCAATGCATCCATATGCGTAACGGGATGGCGCTACTCCTGGAACAGCGGCGCGTCATGTCAAACATAATGACTCACACTTTTTGGGTACCCATGGGCGCTGGCTGCACGCGAGTAGTGGAAAAGGGGCAAGTAGTCGCACAGCCCACGGGATGTAGTACTGTGTTTTAAGCATTCCGCAAGCAACGCGACGCTCGCACCCATCTCGCCTTGCTGCATAAATATTAAATTGCAATCTATTATTTAAGCAGTAAGGCAAAATGCGGTCGAGCGTCGCGTTGCTCCTGAAAATTGGAGCTGCTACTGAGAAATGCGGACGAGAAAAAACCTTGACACTGGCGACGTACAACGAGCGTCAAGGCGATCTCGGGTGTAGCGACCCATTGAAGCCTTGATATCGAGGCCATCGATGACGCAGTGCTGGACGTCCGTGCGCAGCGGCCTTATTGTGAAGCCAACGGCACCAGAAAGGACGGTGCGGAACGTCACCGCAAAGGCATGGCTGGCCGTTTCCTGCCCACAAAAACGAACAAATGAGGCCGCCTTTGACTCAGTTCCCTGGGCGGCGCAATTCGCGTGCCCGAGAAGAACGCAAAGATCGTGCGACACGATTCGTGCTATCATCGCCTCTCCAGCCTCCTGGACACTGTCGACTAGCGACCATGGCTGGCTGCTCCTATTTGGCTCTGGTTTTTCAATTGTCCATCAATGCAACAACATGGTACACAGCTTGTTGAGGTTCCAGGGCCATCCAGAATATGTTTCTGCTCCTGGTTCCCATCCAAGGCTGACGCGGAACGGAAAACAACAATGGGCGACGTTGACTAAGGATTATGCGGAGGAACAAACCCACCTAATAGCGACACATTTTTTCCGAAGCGCAGAAATGCTAGATGCACTATGGTATACATCCCTCGCAGAGCCTAGTTCGCTAAGAGTGGCTAGTGATCCTCCACGTTGAACGCCATTTAAAAAAAATGCCAACCATTCAATAGTACATTTTAGGTGCGACCCTGGGGCTATTTCATTGCGCATATATTTGGTTTTACCTGAAGCCAAATTCACCATGAATTTGGCTTACACCGTGATGGTAGGGGGAGTTTTCAGATCTTTGACACCAAGGATAAATCCTTTTCCGAATTTCTGATATCCCTCTCCCCTGGAGTTTCTCAAGATGTCCTGGGTCAAACGTGAACGCTCTAGGGAGCTTCTTTAAGCAGGGAACGCCCTTGAGCGTTGATGTTGCAGATAGTATCTGCAGATGAAAAGGAAGAAACAGGTTTCATGACATCATCCGGAAAACCGGTAGGCGTTGATGCAACGTTGATGGGGTTTGATGCAAGGGATTCAATGTACAGTGATCATCAACATTGGTGAACTGCACCTGAGTCAATGGCTCTGCGACGTCGGTGTTTACCAACCATGCAACAAGGCATATTGATGCAATATTCAAATTAAGCAGTGTTGCGGCAATTCTGCATCAATGTTCCCGTTTGTCACCCTAAGATACATCTGGAAAGTTAGTAGGATTTTATGCTAAATTGATAGGTCCTTGGATCAATGCTAATCTTCAGACTTGGTGTATGTAGAGCGGCATTGATGCAAGAGGCTGTCAACATTGCAACAACGCCCAACGAATTTCCGAATGATTACCATGGCCGAACCATGTAAATAGGTGGACACTGGTGCAGTGTTGTTGCTGCATTGCCATTGATGGGACGGTGAGCAACGCTGCAGCAAGTGCCTATGTATCAATATTGGCAAGCATTGATGTGTGGCCCAACGTGGTGTAAATACTGATGCACAATCCCTGTTGCAACATCGTTCGGCGTTGCATCAATGACAATGCGCCCACAATGTTGCTACATTTTCTACACAAATTGCAGCTGAATGCGGCGGCCACATCACGCTCTCCAGTTGGGTTTTGTATTGAGTGGTGTCTCCCCTTCACCAGTAGAAAACAGCCTGTTTGCGATGCCCACTGCGATGCCATTTTGACACAAATTGATGCCATCACAGCCCCTTTTATGCCATCGCACTCACTGCGACGGCATCAATTTGTGTCAAAAGGGCATCTCAGCTGGCATCGCAAACAGGCTGTTTTCTACCAGTGCTTGTGATCAAGCCCCTGCAAGTTGGGACACCAGGGCCGCCGAATTGGCTCACCGGGTGCGGCAAATTTTCCACACTTTCCCAGTTTGGGTCGGGTCGCAAAATGTGTGCATTGCGTAGGTTCCCAGCAGTGCTCACCAAATCGCGGATACAGCTGCCAAAGCTGGACAGAATGGTACGCAAAGTGTAACCAGGAGCTGGCGTTATCGGGACGCGCAAGGCCACAAGTTCCGTCTGGCTGGCTGACCCTGGTGCGACATGGGGCAGGAAGGGGCCTTTGGCCTGCCATGACATCCACATGACCAAACCCACTCGACAATGAATGGAGGAACATCGCAGGAAGCTGTGCCCAGATGACGCAGTAAAACGAAGCGGTGAAGGGCGCATGGAGACAGCAGGGCTCCTGGCCAAATGCAGCAGGACATCGTTGTCGCGAGACAGACTCTCCGCAGCCACAGGTGACCGCTGGTCGCCTCGAAGCACGAGGGCGAAAAGGCAGCCCTCCCCGGTGACCGTCGCCGCAGGTCCGACCTCAGCTCAGAGATGGCCGAAAAGCTGCTGGTGTTCGGGCCGGCCGGAAACGTCGGCCGGCAGATTCTCCCCCATGTCGTCGGCAACCCCAAGTTCTCCGTGTGCCTGGCTTACCATAAGAACAAGCCGCCGCAATGCGACGATCCCGGAGTGGAATCAGTGCAGGTGGGGCTGAAAACAAGGAGAAAAGAGTCCCTGTTTCCCGTCAGACGTTTCTATGGATGGGTAAACTCTCGTCCACAGTGGACCAGCGAACGGTAGGGCAGCAGCCACGGGGCACTCCCCTCGCCATCCCCTACGCCCGAGTGGAAGTGCGTCTTGTGGTTGAGGCCCAGAACAATCAAGTGCTGGTGCGCGGGTGTCTGTAAGCCCAGGCGTCGGTAAAAACTGTGCGCGACAACCGCAGCGGGGATCGGCAGCGCGACATCCGCAGGGCAAATGCCCATGGGACAGAGGATACACTCCATGCTTGTCGTCAACCCGAAGAGCTGCAGCGCCCGAGTCCATCAGGACGAGTGTCTGCCGGTTTACCGGTCGAGTTCCTCTCGCTGTGGGCCCCGCGATTCTTTCGAGTGGGTGGATGCAGGTTTCTCAACTGCTTGCGATTCGCTGACCATTTGCTTGAGTGAAACAGCATCGAATTCCGAGCGGTGGGCCATAAATTGCTCACGAGCGGGGCGCCAAACCTCTGTCAGGTATCACTGGAAGACCTGGACAGCGTGAAGAGGGCGCTCAGCTGGGCGCCGGACCGCATCGTCTTCATGGTCAACCTGGAGCCGGGGACGCTGCCCATGGCCGAAAACTTCGTGGTCGCGTGCAAGGCCGTGTCGCCAAACGTCAAGCAGATTGTGTACGTCTCCGAGAGCGACGTCGATGAGTACTACCCCACCCACACGGCGTTCTTCGAGGAGCAGGTCGATACGGTGCGGCACGTGCTGGAGTCCGGGCTGCCCGTGACGAGGATGGAGCCGGCGGTCTTCATGCAGAACCTCGCCAGCTGGATGGGGATGACGGCTGAGCTGGCCAAGGGCACTGGGGTGGTGTCCATGGGGATAGAGCCCACGACGCCCCTGTGGTGGATCGACACTCGAGACATAGGCGAGGCGGTGGCCAGGGTGCTCGAGAGGGACGCGGGCCGAGAGGTTGGGAAGCACTATCGCATGGTGGGGGACTACCGGAGCATCGAGGAGATCACAGAGATGTTGACCGGCGTGCTGCGTGGATGCGAATCCGAACCGAAAGTGCCGTATCCGCAGCGGCTGGTGTACGAGCAGGCGACCAGGGAGGAGCTGAGGAGGTCCCTGGTGGGCGTTGGGATAGGAGTGGATCTTGCCAAGGATTTGGCGCTGATAGTGTCGACCATGCACGATGGTCATTTTCATATTTTTGACATGGAAAGCAGCGAGGATATGGAGGAGCTGCTGGGACGCCCAACCATTCGCCTCCAGCAATACTTGACGGACAACCAAAGCTTGTGGGAAAGCGCCTGGGCTAGTGGCAAGGGCGGTGCTTGATGCCTAGTTGTACGCCATCGCCGGTGGGCACCCACTTGTTCCATGGAATGCCGGGCCATTGCACCTCACATCCCGGGTGAGGACTCCTGACGCAAATGATTGTATTCGACAATCCCTGCACCCTCCCATCCTCCTTCGTTCAGTGTGCGTCATTCTCGGCACCAGCAGTTACCAATTTGGCTTGGCCAGAAAATAATTCCTCAGCCAATACCGTATTTACCCGATAAAAGGATCCAACCCCTTTCAGTACCCACCCCCTTATTTGGTGATCGAAGCCACATTATAATCCATGACCCGGTGTCAGCATCCATCCGCAAACCTCAGCAGAACAGAAACGAGGAAAGGCGCTGATGGTGGCAAGGGATGTCGGCGGCTGATGTTGGACCCCGTTGCCAAGCCTGGGCCAAACCGCGTTCCCCGCAATTCGTGCAACGATGGTGGTGATAGGGTCGGCATGGGTACCGTTGAGGGAGAATTTGGCATGAGGCCCACGAAAGGCCACGGCGTTGACTGTCCAGTGTGATTCATATGCACCGTGTCCAAGAATAGGGAGCACTCAAATCATTCCAGCCAGGCAACGTGCCGCACTGTGACTGGAGGCTTTCCTTTTTCCATACTGGCCAGGTGCTGTTGCTGAAAGTCGTGCACATTATATGCACTCTTTGATCCAATCCATTGCACAGTGTCATGTGGCAACCATTTGACTCCATTCATTCACTGTCCCATGCTGATCAGGAGAATCGCAAAGTAGCACACAAAACATGCGCCAGCTGGCACACACTGCAGAGGAGCTCCCTCCTCTCCTGTTGTCTCTCATCGAGAGATCAATTCCCATGAGTTGCAGGTGTGCTGTGTCCACTACTGCGTTGACTGCACTGCCGCAAATGACAAAGAACTCTTGAGTTCCATCAATGAGTCAGCAGACACCATTGAAGCAAGCACTAAGATAGGGGCGGTGGGCACGACCTCCTGACAGGTGCTAAGCGTGGCTCGCCACTGTGTGGCAACAAATTGAATCGAAGAGGGGTTCAAGATTATAGACGATGAACTACATGTACAACTCTGCACTTAAAGCCCTATGCATAGAAGGTCAGAACATCGATATGGACACAGTCCATGCAAAATTTGTGCGCAAATGCCCAACAGCTAGGCCTGATTCTGCACATGTTGACAAGAGAACGATGGCAACAGCAGGGCCCACAACGCGCTGCGGAAAATGTCGGCAAAGGACGCCAGCCCAACGGCATTGACAGTGCTCTAAAACTTCCGAGCCACACAGGGACTGTAATCATCTGAAAGATGTTGTCTTTAGCCACAGAAGCGACAACCCACTCGTCATGTCTACTCCATGAAAATCCGACACCTTAGGGGTGTGGCCTCCGTGGATGAAGAGCAGGACTGGGGGCCCATCGCGGTGGCCTTCACTGCTCTGGTATGCACAAGGGGAAGAAATGACAGAAAGTAGCCTGTCAGAACCCTCCTGAACACTGCTTAAATACTGCAAGGACACAGCTTATATTATTTTGATAGATTTGACATTTACTGACCGTTTCGGTCGGATCCTTTCAGTCCACGATCGTTGCGTCGCCATCATATTCTGAATTCCTGTCCTTAATCAAGTCCAGAGAGTCCTAACTGTAGGTGTGCAACTTGAATATAGCTGGCTTCCTCTGGCCCTGACTACTGGTGCCACTTGTGCGCTACTCTGCGTGCGCAGTATGACTGAGCAGGTTCCCCCAAATTGGGCGCCTGACGATGTACATGGATGGAAAGGCATCGAATTTGGGTGTTTGTGCAATGCACGCACTAAGGACCAGTACCCAGGGCCAGTCACAGGTATGATTCCATCGTCAGTCAACATTGGCCTTCATGGCCAATTCGATCTCTTGTGCGGAGAGAATATCGTGAGATGGGGCATTTGAATGAGACATCGCCCTGCAAACACCTGCTTCTGATGAGGCACAAACTGCTGCCGATCAAATTCCCATTCATCAAAGAAGCGAAAACAATGCGCATCTGTACTGGATCCTACATCTTTTGCCTCCAGGAAACTTCACACCATCTTCCACAACATTGAAGAGCCAAAATACATCCTTGATGAGGGGAATTCAAATCGTTTGGCATGTATTGTTTCTGCATAAGACAGACAGGCTCTGGAGTCACTGGGAAAACTGTGGTCCATCATAAGTTGCCTCCACCGTTTCCATGTTCTTACTAGGTGGTGTGAATAATTGAAATCTGGCTACATTGCACAAACTCTGAATGCCTATTTCTGATATCCTAGTTCTATGCTCTTTCGCTCCATCAACAATTTTTTGTCCCGCCTGCTCGGCACCTATTCTGTTCAGGTCCCAAATGATGATCCTCCTGCCAGCACCGCTGGTTGCCAGGATGGTCTCACTGGTGCCGCTCCAGCCCACTTTGCACACATAGGTCATGGAAATGGCAGTCAGGGAATCGATGCGGTCCCACACGGCAAGACAAATTCTAAACCAGAAGGGCATGAAGCTCCATAGGTCAAAGACGCAAATAACCAGAGCAGAGGATGAGCCACCAACTGCATGATGACAAGCAATGTGTGGCCAGTCGTGCTTGTGCACTCTGTTGTTCTGTTTGGTGGCCCAAGGAAGCGCATGTGGCCAATGATTTGAAAAAACTCATGAACTGCTCCATGAGGAATGTAATTAATATCGGTTCCACTTGTGCAAGAGCTTTTCAGTTCTCCTTGCGTTCAGATGGAAACGAGTAAACACGCATATGACATCACCATGAACGACACCCTGGAGATTGTTTGATGTTGATGCAATACCACGGCTGTATTGCCATTGATGGGATGCCAATGAGCGCTGCAGTAAGGGAGATGTATCAATAATGACAAGCGTTGACGTGTTCCAATGCTGATGGTCAGGACCTGCTGCAACGCTGTTCAACTCTGCATCAATGGCAGTGCACCTACGTTGTTGCACCAGTTTCTACACAAAGTGGAAGATGACTGCCCTGATCGCAGTACGCTCGCTAGTTCTGTACCGTATTGAGTGAAGCTTCCCCATATCATCAAGCCTGTGCAAGTGATCCGCCTAATTCGCACACCAGGTGTGGCGATTGGGGAACCAAGAGTGGCAAATTTGCCAATCTTTGCCCAATAAAAACTGGGACACGCGTGGTGCGCCTGCAACGTGCCTACAATTCAGACATTTCGAGAAGTTCGGGTGTCAATACCCGGCAGAGCGTACACAAAACTTTGTGTACTTAAGTGCGTGCTACGAGCTGACGTCATCGGGTACCACAAGCCCTCACACAGAGCCCAGGCCGCCACTGGCCAGTGACGTGTCCAGTGACATGTAGACCTGCAAGCAGGGTTAAATGGGCCATGGTGTCCGCGCCCGCAAGAGAGCCTCGAAGCACGTGGGCACAAAATCAGCCCTCCCTCTCCGGAGCGGCTTGTCGCCTCGAAGGAGGCGGGCGCAAAGTCAGCCCTCCCTGGCAACCCTCTCTGCTGGTCCGACCCCCCTGTCCACCAACGTTGGTGGGCGAGTCGCAGAAGCATCAAGAGCTGGTGTGCGGGGATCCGCAATTGCAGACCTCGACTTGTAAGCCAGTGCCTTGGAACACATTTGCCAACGTAACAGACGTTTTCAATGCATGTAACAGACGCCCTCCATATAGTGGCGTCACTGTAGGGTGCGCGGCGCACCGTGCAACAATGATGTGCACAAGCGGGGGCCTCATGCAGGACCCATGTCCAAGAGAGGCTGCCAGCTACGAGTCGCATTGTGGGATTCTTTCACCACCCAAGATAACAATTTGAGGATTTCTGAATGCCTCAGAGCAAATTGTGTTTGCCTTTCCAAGGAACGTGCGCTTCGCACTAAATATCAGCGCTGCCTGCCATGCCAAGCTGCTGGCTATGTAAGGCTGTCTGCCGTATTGCACTTCAGGCCATATCACACTGCCCACCATGTATACGTGTAATGCAACATGTTGCAATGGTGGAGGCAGTGCAAGATGGAAGGGATTCACACAGATTATGAATTTACAGGAGAAACTATTCTTTGAAAACATCACCCCCGACTTTGACGAATTTTCCTTTCCCTGCGTATTTGTGCAGACACCTTGCAACATTTCCAAGGATCGTGGTAGAGTGCCGCCGGTATGAAACTGGTAAGACATATCTTTTGTGCACTTATAAGCGAGCACTGATCTCTTGCAGTCACTATTGGATGATGGTATTATATGAATCATCCTTGCTGTGCTGTGTCCCGGCTGTGCGCACAGCCGCACTGTCCTATACCCTGTCTCTTCGCCTCCTGATGGCTTAACGGTACATATATGTAATAATACTATATAGTGTTAGTGACATCCAACGTGCGGTATTTTGGGTGGTCTATGAATATTTTATGTTGCTATGACGCGTTGACACGTGTAATGGAAGTTTCTGCGTGTTTGATGCATTGTGCTGTTGTTCCCACGAAAAATGTCGCATACACTAGGAAAAAAACAGGCCAGGTGGCACAATTTTGACACGGTGTGCTCGAAATCTAATGTTCTGCTTTTGGCAAACATGGTCCCAAAGCCACACAGTTAGTACACACATTGACGCAGTATCAGCCATGTACCCTGGGAAACTGTATCCAAACTGTGTAGACTACACAGTTTTTCACGGTAAAGGGTTAAAATTGTGACAATGTGTGTACTAACTGTGTGGCTTTGGGACCATGTTTTCCAAAAGCGGAACATTAGATTTCGAGCACACCGTGTCAAAACTGTGCCACCTGGCCTGTTTTTTTTTCTATTGATAGGCGCGTTTCTCAGCTGTTTGGACGGTGGCACATATGAGAGACAACAAGATTCGAAACTTTAGATGGATGGTGGTGATTCTGTGATCGTTAGAATAGCTTCATGCGAATCGTTTTCGCTTTATATTTTGTGAATCGCGAGTTACGGAAATGAGTAATTTTCGTGATCTGACTCCTGAGTACTATTGGATGTTAGCAATTTCTCCTGTTTGGTGTGGTATGCCGACTGCGTTTTAGAAAGCGATGTCTCCCGTGGCAACGACAGTCACTGTCACTGTCGAAGAGCAACCTCCTTCACAGGCACAAACAAGGCTGGGAGAGAGCTTTCTGGCAGATATGCCTCTATATTTACTGCCCTCGCGTTCGCATTCGCCGGCTGTTGCACCATACGGTTGACCAACGCGCGGATTCACTGTGCATATAAGTCACACTTGCGGCCTATTTTATAAAGTTGTTCGCCAATTAGCGAACGCTGCTACCCCGCTTCCTTTCTTTGCTCAGCTCCTGCAAGCACGGCATCTCTTCCCAGACGGCATGAGGACATCGCGCACAGCAACTATATTGGCGGAGGAGCGGCGGGCGGAGCTTAATCGCAGATTTCTTGTGTTTGGTTTTCTTAGTCAGCACCGGTGTTCATCGTCACCAGTGACAACATTGAAAAAATAAATGGCGCAACATTTCTTTTGCCCGTTCACAAAGAGTTTCGCCGCCGCCTTGATGAATTCCAGGATCTTTCCTCTGCATTCACATGCGAGCAATGTCTCCTCACGTGCCATGACCAACACATTACCTCCACAGCATAGGTCGACGGTCGCGATCATTGATCTGCTATGTTGAATGCCATTCAGAAACAAATAGTCAACATGAACGCGTTATGTTACAGATGGCAAAAGAGATCCTGGGGCAATTTGATTGTACATATATGGACGTTTAACCTAATGTCAATTCGTTTCGTAGTATTTGCGAAGGGGTGGTACAGACACCTGATAAGTTGGTATTCAACATTATACAATTCCTTTCCCCTGGAAAACCTCCCAAAGGTCCAAAAAACTTCCCTGGAAAGTTCAAGTTGCAGATGGTGTCTGCAGATGAAAACGAAGAAATTGCATCATGACGTCTCTACAACCGATAAATGAAAATAGGTCAAACCAATATGTTGCATCAACGTCGTTTGACGTGGATGCAGCAATATGGATCTGTTGCCTATAGTAACTTGCCGTAGATAGAATGCCGATTCAATACCATTGTGGCAAGTACCCCAAAGCAATATTCACAAGCGCCAATGTGCGTGTGCCCATGTTGTGCCAATGCTGACCCACAGACCCTGCTGCAATGAAGTTCGGCGTTGCATCAATGAAAATGTACCCACAATATTCCGTCAGTGCCTACGCAAATTGCAGATAAACGTGGTGACTGCAACACGCTCTCTAGTGTGGTTTGTACTGAATGGTGTGCCCCGAATGGTCGAGCTTGTGCAAGTGGGGCAGCAGGTGTGCCAGGCGGCCCAATTGGTCGCCGTGACCAAGTTTGGCAAAGGGGAAATGACAAAGGGAGTGCTCTGCAAGGCGTCGTGGCAAAAGCGTATCTCTGCGACTATAGGGGTTCTGACCGCCCCCCACACATTAGAGGCTTGGCCAGGCCGCTGTCGGTCCAGCACTGGCCCGCACCGCAATTCTACCAGGGGCGACCCCGCACAGGACCCCCTTTGATATTTGCACACCCGCAAATTTACTACGTTTGTCCAGTTTCAACAGGGTCGCACGACGTGTGCATTGCGTGAGTCCCCAGCAGTGTGGACGATATCGCAGATATCGTTGTCAATGCCCTGCAGAATGGTACACAAAGTGTGAGCGGGAAACGGCGTCACCGGGTACCAAATCATGAGGGCCGTCGTTCGGAGTTCTCACACGGAACCTGCATCGTCCCTGGACGTGCAGTTCTGCACACCAAGACATTCCTGTTGCCAGACTCGCTGTCCGTGGCCGCAAGAGAACGGCTTGTGTCCTCGGGGCGCGCGGGAGCAAACTCAGCCCTCCACGGTAGCCATCGCCGCAGCTCCGAGCTCAGCTCCCCCATGGCCGAAAAGCTGCTGGTGTTTGGGCCGGCCGGCAACGTCGGCCGGCAAATCCTCCCCCATGTCATTGGCAACCCCAAGTTCACTGTGTGCCTGGCCTACCACAAGAACAGACCGCAGCAATGCGACGAACCCGGAGTGGAATCGGTCCAGGTGGGGTGGGCAACGGGAACAGCAGACTCCCTGGTCGCCGTCGGTTGTGGATCACCGGCTGGTGGGACAGCAGCGGCGGGTCCCTCCCGTCGCCATCTCCTAGCCCGAGAGCGTGAGTGCGAATGCGAGAGGCCTCGGGAAACCTGTGCGAACATCCACGGCGGGCGGGGCACACGTTCGCGTCCTCTGTGCTTCCCGTCAGCTCGAAGGGCCCCATCGCCGCGGGCCTCCTCGATGAGAGGCTGCCAGCTTGTATGTTGAGTTGCTCTCGCTGCGCCCCATGGTTCCTTTGAGAGCGAGGCTGTCGCTGTCTAAACCGTTTGCAGCACCCTAAGAAATTGCTTTCGTTCAGCTGCTGGCAATTGCGAGTGGTGGGTCACGACTGGCCACGTGGGGCCGCCAACATTTCGCAGGTGTCCCTGCGCGACCTCGACAGCGTCAAGAAGGCTCTCAGCTGGCAGCCGGACCGCATCGTCTTCATGGTGAACACGGAGCCCAGGACGCTGCCGATGGGCGAGAACTTTGTGGCCGCCTGCAAGGCCGTGTCGCCAAACGTGAAGCAGATCGTCTACGTCTCTGAGTGCGACTGCGACGAGTACTACATCACCCAAACGGCGTTCTACAAGGACCAGCTCGACACGGTGCGGCACGTGCTGGAGTCCGGGCTGCCCGTGACGAGGATTGAGCCGACCAGCTTCATGCAGAACATTGGCGGCTGGTTGGGGATGACGGCTGAGCTGGCCAAGGGCACCGGTGTTGTGTCGATCGGGATAGAGCCCACGACGCCCATGTGGTGGGTGGACACTCGAGACATAGGGGAGGCGGTGGCGAGGGTGCTCGAGAGGGATGCAGGCGAGGAGGCTGGGAAGCACTATCGTCTGGTGGGGGACTACCTGAGCATGGGGGAGATTGCGGACATGTTGTGCGGCGTGCTCAAAGAATGTGAGTCAGAACCGAGGGTTCCGTATCCGCAGCGGCTGGTGTACGAGCAGGCAACGCGAGATGAGTTGAAGAGGGTACTGGAGAACGCGGGGATGGAGGAGGACGTTGCCAAGGATTTGGGGCTGATAATATCAACCATGCACGAGGGTCATTTTCCCATTTTCGACACGAAGAGCAGCGAGGAGATGGAGGGGCTGCTGGGGCGCCCATCCATCCGCCTCCAGCAGTACTTGAGGGACAACAAATCCTTGTGGGAAAAAGCCTGGGCTAGTGGCAAGGATGGTGCTTGACGGGCAGATACACGCACGACGAGCGGCACCCCATTGCCATATCGAATGCCGGGTCATTGTCCTTGGCAAGGACTCCTGATGCAATGGTTTGTAGTCGATGACCCCTTTATCCTCCTATCCTCCATTCTCCCTGTTTGTTATTCTGTTGGGTATAAAGAGTAATAAGTGCGTTTTGGCCCTCACAGCAATGGCCATGCTTGTCTTTTACTGTACCATTTTTACATTTACGTTTATGTTGATCACCAATGTGATCAGCATCCACATCAGCCCAAATCGACCAGCGACTCGAATTCTAGTGATGGTTTGAGTAACTGAGTTGATCTCGCAGAGTTATCGAAAGATCGGATAACGACCAAGACTTATGAGACCTAATGCCAAATTCATGGCAATGGTGGAGAAGTTCAGATGAAAACGTTGAAACACATACTATGACGTCACCGTCAACAACACCCTGGAAACAGGTTGACGTTGATGCAATACCGTGGTTGTGTTGCCCATTGATGGAATGCCGTTGCACGATGCAGAAAACTGCCATGTACCAATATTAGCAAGCGTTGAGGGGTGTGTGTGCCAACGCTGTTCCAATGCTGATGGACAGGCCCTGCTGCGACGTTGTTCAGCGCTGCATCAATGGCAGTGCACCTATATCGTTACACCAGTTTCTACACAAAATGGAGGATGACTGCAGTGGTCGCAGCACGCTCGCTAGTTCTGTACTGTATTGAGCGAAGGTCCCCATGTCATCACGCCTGTGCAGGCGGTCCGCCGAATTCGCTCGCCAGGTGTGGCAAATGGGGGAACCAAGTGTACACTTGGTTGCCACACGTGGCAAATTTGCCGATCTTGCCCAATTCAAACTTGTTGACGCGTGGCGTGCCTGCAACGTATGCAATGCAGACGCTCCCAGCAGTGCGGGTGTCAGTGCACGGCAGAGCGCTACACAAAGTGCGGCTGGGAGCTGGCGTCATCGAGTACCACATGATGAGGACTCCTGGTAGAAGTCCTCGCACAGAATCCAGGCCGCCACTGGCCAGCGACGACGTGTCCAGTGACGTGCAGACCTGCAACCAGGGTTAAGTTGAGCGGGGTGTCCGTGCGCGCAAGCGGGGGGCTGGTCGCATCGAAGCCGGCGGGCGCAAAATCTGCCCTCCCCGGAGCGGCTGGTCGCCTCGAAGGAAGCGAGTGCAGAGTCAGCCCTCCCCGGCATACCTCGCTGCAGGTCCGACCCCCCTCTCCAGAGATGGCCGAAAAGCTGCTGGTGTTCGGGCCGGCCGGCAACGTCGGCCGCCAGATCCTCCCCCACGTTGTCGGCAACCCCAAGCTCGACGCGTGCCTGGCCTACCACAAGAACAGGCCGCCGCAGTGCGACGAACCCGGAGTGGAGTCGGTGCAGGTGGGGTGGGCAACAGGAAAAGCAGATTCCCTGCTTGGCGATGGATGGCATCTGCAGCTCCGTTACCTCACGTCGCCTCCCGCCAATTGAGGATCACCTGCGGCGGTGGTGGGGCAGCGCTGGCGGGCCCCTCCCTTCGCTATCTCCTGCGCCCGAGCGTACCTGCGTCCTGCGGGGGCTGAGTCCCAGAAGCATCAGGAGCTGGTGCGCAGGGATCTGCAATTGCAGACCTCGGCTTGTGAGCCAGTGCCTCGGAACACATCTGCCAACATCCGCAGCGGCCACGGCACACGTTCATAACGGACGTCCTCCGTGCTTGTCTTAAACCAGAGAGACTGCAGCGCCGCAGTCCTCCTGGCTGAGTGGCTGCCAGTTTATCAGTCGAGTTACTCTCTCTGTGCGTCCCGTGCGCCGGTCCTTCGAGCGTCAACCGCTTGCGACCCGCTGACCAACTGCTTGATTGAAACGAGCAAGTGCGAGTTGCAGGGGATAATTGCTCATAAGAGGGCCCCCAAACCTCTCGCAGGTATCCCTGCTCGACCTCGACAGCGTCAAGAAGGCGCTCAGCTGGCAGCCGGACCGCATCGTCTTCATGGTGAACTCGGAGGCCGCTACGCTGCCGATGGGCGAGAACTTTGTTGCCGCCTGCAAGGCCATGTCGCCAAACGTCAAGCAGATCGTCTACGTCTCCGAGTGCGACTACGACAAGTACTACCGCACCGACATTGCCTTCTACAAAGACCAGATCGCGACGGTGCAGCACGTGCTCGAGTCTGGGCTGCCCGTGACGAGGATTGAGCCGTCGTGCTTCATGCAGAACATCGGCAGCTGGATGGGGATGAAGACTGAGCTGGCCAAGGGCACTGGAGTTGTGTCCATCGGGATAGAGCCCACGACGCCCCTGGCCTGGGTGGACACTCGAGACATAGCGGATGTGGTGGCGAGGGTGCTCGAAAAGGATGTAGGTCAGGAGGTCGGGAAGCACTATCGCCTGGTAGGGGACTGTCGCAGCATGGGGGAGATGACAGCGATGCTGAGTGGCGTACTGAAAGAATGTGAATCCGAACCTAAGGTGCCGTATCCGCAGCGGCTGGTGTACAAGCAGACATCGAGGGAGGCGTTGACGAGGGCTATGGAGGACGCAGGGATGGGCGCCGACGTTGCAAGCGATTTGGCAAAGATGATGTCCACCTTTCACGAGGGCCATTTGGCCATGCTCGAAATGACAAGCAGCGAGGAGATGGAGGGTCTGCTGGGGCGCCCAGCCATCCGCCTCGAGCAGTACTTGAGGGACAACAAGTCATTGTGGGAAAGTGCCTGGGCCAGTGGCAAGGACGATGCTTGATGGTCAGATGTACGTCATCGTCAGCGCTACCTGTGGCAATTTTCTAAGTACCCCTCCGGAACTGGGTACCTTGTCATTATAGTTTCATTATGGTCCTGATTATGATGGTCTACAGTACTAATGTGTCCCAATCATAGGTGCGTGAGTACTCAGTAGGCGGTGTGGAGACGGCATGGATGCGCAGGAGATGAGCCCTTAATGAGCTGTCAAGGCGCTGAAGATGAACCACGCCATTGCTGTGCCAATTAATGACGATGTGCCAGACCCAATGCTCTGATGAGTGGAGATGAGATGCCGTGGCCGTGAAGATGAACTGTGCCAATTTCGAGAAGTCAACGAGACAATGAGCCAGCTGATGAGCCAGTATGAAGCTGCATTGCGGCCATGCTATTTCTGGAAGACGTGCCGGGTGATTGTTGACGAGGATATGCCGCTTTTGAAGACGTGCCATGCACCTCTTTGACGATGTGATGAATAGACGTGTCATTCTGGGCTCAATGATGAAGATTGATAAGTGCCGGGCACCGCAATGAGCCGGGGCGTGCTGCCATGGCCTGGCGCGGCACGCTGGCTGGAGAGTGGGCGTGGGTGCGTCAGAGACCTATTTTCGAGTACTGTAGTCGGCTGGAGTACTACGGCTGCCGCACCCGACTGCTTTCCCCTTGCATTAGGCGGTTACGGTACTATGGGTGCTGCACCAGGTGCTGTGGCACCGGCACGGCAACAGGTGGACGGCACCACGGCATGGGATGATGGGCGTGGTAGCAATTTGAGCGGTGCGTCAGATTCCGGGCGCTGGGAAATGCCGGCTGTACGATTGGCATGGCTGGTTAAGTCAGGCAAAATAGATAAATAATAAAAAGGCATGCTGGTGCGCCGTAGCGCATCGTACCCGCACTTCTTTTGCCTCCCGAGTCACGAACTGTGATGCCATGCAGCCTGCGCCCGTGCAACCGCAGGATGCACCAACGTCGCTCAGGAAGCGGGGAGCGCATGTAGGATCCCTCCTAAGGGCATTTGATGCGACCCTTTTCCACTCCAAAACATTTTGGCAGCTTCTGAATCTATGAGGGTTCAAACCCATATGCCCATATCAAGTCTAGGGTGTCCTACGCCAAGGGTTATGCACGCAACAGGAAGGCTGTCATCAGAACGCCGTTCCCCACTGCAGGGTAAGTTGCGCATGTTCTGCAACGTCACCCCGCCGCCAGACACCTCATTTGCATGGCCGGGAACTTTTTGGCTTTGGGGTAGCGGCTCAATCCACGCAGTCACCTGATGCATGAACAGCAAGTCGCAATGCGACAAAGCCATCACCTGCTAGTTTCGGCGTGTGCCGAAGAGCTGGTCATCTTCAAGATTTACACATCACTCCAATCAAACAGGTTTCAAGTTATTGAGCCCACCATGGGAAGCGCGCGGACGGCCCTTGATATTTCGCCACGATGCTGGCACGTCACATACAACAACAACGTGTGAAAAAAGAGCATGCCAGCAACGTGATCACGGCAACGTTTTCCTTGGCCCATATGTCGACGCGACATCTCACACCGTATCTAAAGCCCCAAGTCAGTCCACATTCTCGTCCAAAAACCTCTGCAGGGCAGGCCAGTAGATGAGGGGGCAGACGTCATAAGCGTCCATATGGTGTGCGTTTACTAGGTCCACAAAGATGCGGTTGTTTTGGCTCGTGATCCGATACAGCGTCTCCATCTGGCTTCTTGGGACCATCTCATCATCCGAGGAGGACAGCATGAGAATTGGCATCTGCAGTTTCTTGATCTCCACATCATTTAGCCACTTGTTCCTCACCAAGAAATTGCACCACCTGCAAGTATCAGAGTACTGGGATTCATTCCATCTATCAGCTGCATAAATAAGCCCCCACCCCGATGTTTTTCTCTAGCCCAAGACAGCCTTTGTCATGCAACGTCTTCCAACAGCCAAGCTCCTCAACTGTCAGTTCAATGGCAAGAAAGATGTTCACATGAGCCCCGGCCACACAATAGCAAACGACCTGCATTGGGAACATACCAAACTCTGGAGATTCATAGCCTGCTGTTGCCTGTCTGGCACAAGTGCACCATTCTGGCAGTGAGAGGACAGTGCAGCCCAAAACAAATTTCCCAAGAGTCCACCACTTCTTTTGTTACAACAAGGGGTAGTACCTGAAGTCTGTTTGGCTTCAAGGGGCAGTCACACTACATGACCAGCCCTAAGCTGCTGTGCACCAGTTTGTTTTCCTCCTGCTCAGGTCAATTGGTTCAATTTTCCTTCATAAGACACAACGGGACCCTTGAACCTTGCAGGTTTGCCTGCTGTCCCCCCACACAATTTTCAACAGCATTGGCAAAAGGTTGCCAGCAAACTGCTGTTTCAAACAGGCCCACTGCACATCTCTGTTGGTCCATTTTCAGCATGCTGTTCATCAGCCACCCACCCGCCCTTGCCGATGAGAGCGCCCAAGAACGGCAACACTTGGGGGACCATGTCTTCGACAGAAGTGAAGGTGTTCTCAACGATGAGAGCTTTCACCTGGTCAGGAAAGCACCAGCACATTATGAGTGCCAGTGTGACCCAACAAGCTTAGCGAAGGAATGAACAGATCACGAAGAGAGTCAACGTATTGTAGGGGATTGCCTCCCTGAAGTGTCATCACAATTCGGCAACAAGGTTGCTGGCGGGCAATAGCAAGGGCTTCCCACACAAAGCATATTTTGCCTGGACACCCAAAGCAGAAAGTACCTGTGCAATATAAGCAGGTGCATGAATGCAGGCATCCACTGCATGCAACATGACAACCAACGCACATGGCATGCATCTCCATTGATCAAATCCCAAGAGCAACAGCGCGGTCCGACACATTCAGTGGCATGAAACAGATTGCGCTGCCCACACAGTGTGGATATCATTGTGTGTGCTGCAGCATGTTTCCACAAAATTGTCAAAAATGCACCTCCCTTGTAACTCAAGTCAACCAACCAGTGACAGCCATTCCAAAACAAACTCACCCCCAAGCAACACCAGAGCAAGCTAACTGCCCAGTGACGACCTCCAATGCACTCCACACCAACATCAACACCATCACAATCTGAGCAAAAACTTCCGTGCTCATGGTCTCTGCCCACGATGGTAAATGACAGCACAAGCGGCACATTCTGCGACACGAGCACTTGTGGTTGACATGGTGATCGGCAGCACCTAAAGGGGCTCATATTGGCAGCCAAATGCCAAGCACACCTTGTCTTGATGCTGGGCTGCAATATGAATTGCAACAGCACCACCCAGTGACCTCCCCATGACGACCAGCTGCTCAGAGCGCAGATCTTTGCGTGACAACGCATAGTTGATGGCAGCCTCCGCATCCATCTTCAACCCCCACTCTGTGGGACTGCCAGGATTGGGACCATACCCGCGATAACTGGCCACCAACAACAGCAAATATATGGTGAACAAAAATAGCGCCTGGGCTCATCGAATTGCCATTAGTGCCAGTCATTCTCCTGCAGCCAGTAATTGCAGTATGCCTTTGTCCTGCTCTGGCTTGCACAAGGGATTTCTCCAACCTCAAGTCCAAGAGAGTTCAGTATTCCATCTGCGCCACGTACAAAGCAGTTTGAAAATGTCTCGCCAGAGGAGTGCACATTTGATAGCCTACTCACCTCTTGTTTGGCGACAGCCATGAAACATAGTATGTATGGTGTCCAGGGTATGTATTACATACACTGGACATTACATCTTTAAGTATGCACAGCATCAGCAAAGCTGATACAAATCTCCATCAAATCCACTTTGTCTAAAAAGAGTCGACGATGTGTCGCAAGTCCACCACCAAAGTGGCCAGGCCATTCTACTCAATCACCGTACACACAAGAAGCACTGACACTTGAAGAAACAAACTCACCTTGGTGCTAAGATGACACACCCCAGCTTGGAAATGACTCCTCTGAAGAATGGCAACCTGTGGCTGAGGTTTCCTGCATTCGCCTAGAGTTGCACAGACGAGAATAAGAGGGGGAAGACAACAATTCCCCTCCAAGCACATGCACAATATGGTACAATACTGTGGGGCATCCCACTCGATTGCAGAACTGCACTGAAGCATTGCTCTTAACATTACATATGGAAAGGTATGAGCCCAGTCGCTCATCGCATCACTTCAATGTATGAAACGGAACCATTTTTCAGGCATGTGTGGTCCAACAGTTTTGCCAACTCCAAAACAATGACCACTTGATGACATTTGCCACCACAACACCACAGTACTGCCCTTTACTTGTAAGGCAATGACAGGCTCTGTGCTCTCCACAGCGTTTGCACTCACAGCTCCTTTAAAGGCTACAATTAACAGTACCCAGCAATCTGAGCACCTACCTGGAAGAACAATATCAGAGGCTTGTTCCTCAGTGTGGCTTTATCCCAAGCGGGATCCCACAGCAGCCAGGCGTGCAGAGACAGGCCATCCTTGGTTGTCAGCTGTATGTCCTGAGCAGCAAAGCAGGGCAGTCACCCTGTTAGTACTTTCAAGCACCAAGAGGGAAATGGGTATGCCCAATCCAGAGTCCATCAATGCAAGATACTTGCCGGTGTGAGTCACATGGTGGGGCAACACACCTCAGCTCTTCAGGCAAGAGAGAAAGGCATTTATGCCACTGACAACAAGTACCCAGAACAAATGCTGTGGTAATTGCCAACCGATGCACTGGTCAACAGGAATTGGCACTGAAGCTGATCCGCTGGGCATATATCAAGGCCAGTTTGGTAACAGTGGGAGAGGGACAAAGTGCATCGCAAAAGTTTGACAGCTGTGTGGTGCATGACATGCATCCTGTAGTAGAAACTGCCTTCCATGTGAAAGAATCTGCAGCACTGTCATGCTTCCCACATAGACGGGAATGGATAAATACAGCGGCTATGGCATTCATTCTGACCATGGCCAGAGTGCTGGAGAACTTTCACAAAAATGAGCAGGCAAGATGGAGACAGAAAAGTGCAGCAAAGGCAAATCACCTGCTGACATTCCGAAAAGTGTATTCAAGACTGTTGTACAACGTTGTCCCTGTGTCAAAGAGCCATTGTAAAGTGGGATGCTGCAATCCAAACGTTGCAGGAACAAGTCCTGCCAGGAGCCCATGTGATGCACACGATGTTTGCGGCACATGAGCAGCATAAGGAACACAATTAAAAAAAAAAGCTGGGAAGCAACACAAGTCTACATCTAAACGTAGCTGTCCCATCGCTGCCATGTGGCACCCCACATTGCAGTCGCAACAGCAGACAGCCAATTTGTCAGCCTTGCGCAGAGGCCCATGGGGTGCGCTTCCCCACGCACTTCTCGCCATACACTTGATGGTTTTCTTGTGCATCAGTTCTGGGTCATCCCACCATTCTGTCTCAACAAAAGGGCTAGTGTTGCACAGATGCTGGTCAAGCTTGCCTCATGCATGAGATGAAATTGGTCAGGGAAGTACTCGTAGTTTTGCGAGATGCCTGGAGCCACAGGAACGTAGAGCTGCAGGGCAGAAAAGTGCAGTACCATAGAACTCAGCTTGATGAAAATCAAAGACAATGGCACAAGACAGAAACAGCAGTGCATTGAGAAATGTGACATGGTGCATCAACTTCCCACAAACTGGCAAATGGAACAGCCCGTTTTGGATTCCTTGAATGGATCACGTACCCTAAGATCTCCATCGTATATAGGTGGAAGCCCTGCATGACCCCTCCCATGCCTAGACAAAAAGCGGGCCGCGCGATCCAGAAGCTCAAATTAATGTAAACCTATGACGCCACCACGATTTTGGGGCCAGTCAAAATGGTGGGGATGGCACAGGGTGGACGGTTGCCAAACAGCACAGTATCACATCGGGGCACGTGCGCCTGAAACTGTGCACAGGACTTGATCTCTTTGCCACTGAAGAGAGGCGCATTTCAATGTGCGTGCGCTGACAGGACACCCTTTTCGGCCGTATATTGTACCGCACTGTTCCCTGGACCCGGCAATGCAAAGTAGGCAAAAGAGAATCGGCCGACATCTGACACTGATACACTCGATCAATCCAGAAGGCCTCTGAGAGGGAGGAGATCACAGGCCAGTAACATCTGAACGGGGCCGGGGCCCTCGGGATCGGCCGCAGGAAGAGCTGTGCAGCCAAGTTGCGCGCCTGGTTCACAAACTCCCCTCTCCCATCACTTCAAATTCAAAGCCCAATTTCTCGCAGCATCAAAGTCAAGCCCATCCGCCCCCCTCTGCGCACTTACCAGCTTCTCCTGCAGGAAATACAGCGCGCCCACGGCCAGCGACGCCAGCCCAGCAACCTGCACATCCACGCACAGCGCTCAGTCGCGCGTGGGCAGGATGCGCGGTGGAGGCCCGGGGGCCACAGGGAGGGCCGCACCCCGTAGGCGGCTCGCCAGAGCCAAGTCATCAGAGCCATGGCTCCGGTACCCAGGCACCCAGCCACCGACGGGTGAGTCCAAGGGGAGGATGGCGTCGAGTGAGAATTGCGAAGCTGGTGGCTTAGAAAGGCGAAGGCTGGCGCTGTAATGACGTGACTTGTTCGAATTGGAGCGCATTTGCCGCAGATCAGTGCGGCAAACATCAATGGCAGAAAATTACTCCCCGTTCTTGTTTGCTGAGATTCCCTAAACCCCAACTGATCCACGCACCGGGACTGGCCTTGTCAGCGGAACAAGAACCGAATCTCAGCAAACAAGAACGGGGAGTAATATATTCTCAATATCAATGCACTGATCGTGGATGTGACGAGTCGCAGTGTGCAACCCCGCCTACAATTACTGGCTGCACCAAAATCGGTGACTTTCTGCACTAAATCGGTGACTGCTTGCACCAGCTCCCTCCAAAAGTTACCTAAAACCTAAACCCTGAACCCTGAACCCTGAACCCTGAACCCTGAAACTAAAACCTGCCCTAAATCTAAACCTAACCCCAAACTCACCCTAGAATTAAACCTAACCCTAAAACTGGAGTTAGGACAGAGTGTGCAGGTGATTTGGTGCAAGCAGTCACCGATTTGGTGCAGGCAGTGATATTATTTCGTGGAACCCGGGCGGAGGCAGGCGGTTTCCTGAAGTCACAGGGTGTGGCTGCCAGCGCCAGATTGTTGAGAAAACAGTACGGCGTTGTATACCGCTGAACGCTGTAGGGGGGGAGCACGCACAGCCCACGCACACTGGAACAGGATTGCGGGCAGCGGGGGCCGGCGCAGAGTGTCCTCGGCAAGGGGCCAAACCCCGCGGGGTCTCGGTGATATCGCCGTTGCATACTCAGACAGGTGAAGGGATTTAACCGGTGGCCTGAACGCAGACCTGGAGCATGCATATGTTCGCTTGCAGCTGGAGAACCACGGCCTCAACACCAAGTCCTGCTGATTCCACCGGACAGGCAGACCTGACCCCAGGATGGGTGTGCGCAGGACCAGAAGCCGGTGGATAGCAAAGACATCGCGCTCGTGGCTGCACTGGTTATGAGGAGTGCAGGAACCAACGGTTTTTTGTTCGTGCGGCCTGGTTTGAGGTGCCAGAAGCCAGTGGGTGCGTTGACGATGCCTGACAGAGGTGCCCATGGGACTGCAAGAGCAGTACAGGGGGACCCAGGAGCTGCAGTTGGCATCAGTGGTGCGTGAACACAGCCTGGAAGGAACTGCGCCGATCTTGTGTAGTCCAGGAAATTGTCCTGGTTTGGATGGAGCAGACTGCAGGGTGCGAACTTGCTCAGAGCGAAATGGACGTTTGCTGCTCGCTGGATTCCGGGCAGGATGGCACTTGTTGAAAAAGTATTGCACTCAACAGTGCTCAAGGTTGCTTGATAGATATGAAAGGTCATGCACTGGACACTCAGCTCATCAGTAGGACAGTCTTGTACTATTTCCATGCAATGCCGGATGATGCAAGAGTTGCAAGAGTTGCACGATGGGAGTCACTGAATTCTGGCCTAACCAGGGTGGCAGAGCGTATCGAGTCAAATTGTGATGTTTCCTGCTTCTGCTTGAGTTAACGATGCTCTGGAGGTCGTTGAATAGAGTTGTCCCTCGTGTTGGCCCCACTTCAGAAGGACATCCCTTGGCTACCAGAAAATCCGTCCTGATGTACATCTTTGTTTGGCAGATACCCACAATGGTGCTGGCAGCGAGAATGGATGTGTGGACATGCGCTTGAACCCATGTGTTGAGGCTGTAAAAACGTCTCGCACAGTAGAAATTACTGGTCTGGCCCAAGCGCTGAGAGAGGAAGGAAAAGACGTAAGTTATCTTCTTGTGGCATCCTTCTCTGTTGAAAATCTTGTGTCATCTTGTGAGAAAATTAGCGGAGCCCCCCGAGACGGGGTGCTATTTCTCTTCCTGGCTTGTCCATCACATTTGAATACTGGGACTCGACTGCTGCGGATGACAGTTATACCTCCTGCAGGTGATCAGCTTGGCCGCTGGCGAGCCTGACTTTGCGACACCTGACTCCATCGTTGCCGCTGGCATTGAAGCCATGACACAGGGCATCACAAAATACACTCAAAATGCTGGCACATCCCAGCTCAGGAAAGCAGTGTGCCAAAAACTGCAAGGTCTGTGGTACATCATGACTGCTCTTGGCATGCTTGTGCCAAGATGGAATGCATCCAGGCACAGAGCCCAATGGACAAGGAATGCACAGACTTGCAGGACTCTAGGTTTATCTTGTGACTTGATGGGCCACCTGGATGTCTGGCAAGTTGTGGTCTGTTGGCCAGTAGATCAGTAGGTTAGTAGTGGACAGCTGCAGCTGGAATTTGCATGAAGTGCATTGTGGGCTGACAGTCGTGTCCAACTTGGTTCCTGGCATTTCAGTTGATTTTGGACTTTGACAACCCTGGGAACCACTATGGCCACCTTAAGCTTGCAAGTCCAGCAGAGAATGCACGAAGTTATTCTCTTCTGCAGTATAGGTGACGTTGCATCCAAGCCTTGCCGCTGTCTAAGACAAAGTCATACCATTGTGAGTCAAGTAACTTCCATGCTCTTTCAGCAAAGATGCATCAAGAACCTTATTTGTAGCTCAAGGGCCATGTTGCATTCTCCAGCGGACCTTGAGGTCCAACACAAAGGTCACCAGTGTTCCGCAAGTTGATTCCGGAGCCCCCTCTGGCTGGTTTTGCTCTCTCCTCGTCTTTCAAATGGAAATGCACATCAGTTCCAGCTTATGGAAGTGTCCGTTACATACTTCAGCCAGAACACTGTACATTGTACAATGTACAGCACTGCCCTTTCACCCGTTTTACTTCTTTAATTTCTTTCAGTCTTTTGGCTTCATTGCAAGTTCTCATCTTATCTCATTTTGGCTGCTGTTCTCTGTGCTTGTAGCTGATAATGGCCTGGAGTACACACCAGACTGTATAGTGCTCAGCAATGGAGCAAAGCAGTCTGTGTGGCAGGGGGTGATGGCAACCTGCGGGGCTGGGGATGAGGTGGGCGCTGGTGAGGGAGGCACACTGCAGCACCATTATCGTCCACACCTTGTTGGCTATCTTGTATTTTATACATAGTAGGCCAACCGTTGTCCCATCGCCCACTGCCCTTTGCTCCTTGGCCGTCATGGCAGGCTGGGTCCATCAGCACCGCCCTTGAATTTTGCTGTCAAGCAAAGAGTTTAGCACGCCACTGTTTGGCACACCACATGGAGTTCATGGATCTGCAACAATTGGATGATTTGTAGGGAAAGCTTGGAACTGACAGCCCACAACGACCAAGGGCTTGGCTCCACAGTTTAGGAAGTTGGAGTGCACTGCTGTCTATTGCCCTGGATTATATCCTTTGGAGATAAAGTGCTCGCTGTGCACATTTGCTGTTTGTGCCCTCCACAGCTGGAAAGTTTTTGGTGTGTAGAATGGACTGTTTTGCTGTGATGACTGGTTGCAAGTTTCACAATGAGCACTGCACATCGCAATCGTATTATACATGCAGAGCGTGTTGAGTGCACTATTTGGTGCCTGAGACTCTGCTCCTCTGTGTTGTGTCTGAAGATCCTGATTCCTGCCCCATATTGGGTGAGCTACCCTGAGATGGCCGTACTGAGTGGGGCAACGCCCACAGTGCTTGAGACAAGGCTTGACAACGGTTTCCTGCTGACACCCGAGCAGTTGTCTCAGGCATTGACGCCAGCCTCTCGGCTGCTAATTTTGTGTTCACCTTCCAACCCAACTGGTGCTGTCTACCCCAGGTACCGCAGTCCATCCCTGCAGAGCGTTGCGATGCATGCAAGCCATGGCTGTGACTGACGACTTTGCAGGACAATTGCTCAATTGTGCACTCACAAGACAGGCTTGCTCTTGATGTTAATACCCCCAGCAGCCATGTGCTCTTTCCTTCAGATGCAGCATAGACATTCGACTTGAATGGATTCATGGTGCCCTACCTCCCTGTCACAAACATTGCACCTGGTGGAAAGGGACTCGTTTCATATTTAGCACTGTCTAACATAGGCAGAGAATATGTGAAATGGACAGTTCTTCACTAGGGGCATGTCAATGCTGCTGTTACTTTCAGCAAATTCCCACCAAAGGTGGTTGACTCTGGAACTGAGGAGACAACATGCCATAAGAATGTACACGTGCCATCTGAACAATTTTTTTATGTTTTTCACATTCTGCAGTGATAATGCACAAAGCTGCATGTACAGCGGCGAGCACAGCCCCATTCTATATGTCGAGTTTCCAGTCCATGTTGTGGCAATGTTTCTGAGCTGCACGAAACGAAGTAGCAGTCCGCACCTGAGGTGTTGCTTGGCGTCAGACTCCTATAGCAATCGGATAATGCTTTGAAAGTGTTTGTACATTGTTCTCTACTGCCACTGTCATCTTCTTATGGAGATTGCTAGTGTTTCTCCAGACAACAGCTGGAAGCTCTTGCTGAAGTGGTCAGAGCACATCCCCGGTTGCTGGTGCTGGCTGACGAAATTTATGAGCACATAGTATACGACCCAGCCAGTCACCACAGTTTCGCCAGCTTGCCTGGGATGTGGGAGCGCACGCTCACTGTCAACGGTTTTTCCAAGGTAGGTGGCCCTCTCCAGGCGCGCATCCACCCATGCATTGTGACGATCGTGGCTTGGCTGCATGCTGTTGGGTGAGTGGCTTGGGTGTTCGTTTCGTAGTGCTGCGGCTTCGCGGCATTTTCTATGGGCTGCGATGGCTGTCACCTGTTGGCACAGGAACAATTGCCTTCACAATATGGAAGGGGTGGGTCATCCATTGAGCATCTCAGTCCTGTGAAATGAAAGATGTTGTGAGGCTCTTCATGCGGCACAGAATGTTGCAAGTGTGTCTGAGTGCACCAAGAGGCATGCAGCAGTAAAAGCCATGCACAGTAAAGTGGTATCTTCTTAGGGGCTGTCTGAGCAGGTACAAAACTGGAAAGGCTGCACTGCAAGCAGATTCTTGCTGCTGCACATTGTCAAACACCAAGATGATGGCTTTATGGTGGCCTTCACCATCAACTTTTAGCTCCCCAGTGTTGAGCATCAGTGTGCTGCTACAGGCTTATTCTATGACAGGTTGGCGCTTGGGGTATTTGGCTGCCCCACCGCAGTTTGCTGCTGCAGCAAACAAAATTCAGAGCCAGACAACATCGGCTCCCAGCAGTATCTCCCAGCACGCTGGCCTAGCTGCCCTTGCCTTGGGCCCACACGGAGGGAAGCCTGTAAAGAGCATGGTGGAGGCGTTCAGACAGCGCAGGGTAGGAACAGGTTTTCCTGAATAGAGACTCTTGCCCGCTGACTCACGGGCTGATGACAAGAAATAATTTCTTGTCAGTGTGTTTGTCATTGTAAGATAATGCCAGATCGGCTTGATATGAGTGGATAAAGTACTGTACCATTGTCTGCAATACTTGTGTCCGCAATTCTTTGAACTGTCTTCAGTGCCTGGGTTCTCAATTCATGCATATGCTCTTAAACAGACTTTGTAGCCCATTGTGAGCCGACACTGGTGGCCATTGCACACAAAGTTTGCATTTGAAAGGACAGTCAATGTTGCACAATGGCCGCCTTTTCTTGAATTGGAATTGTGAATAGTCCCTGCTATGCGGTGAAAATGAATCTGTGTAATTCTGATGTGAAATATTGCACAGAAGTGTGCAAGTGCGCTAGACAAAGCGGACAAATTAAGTATATCGCACGGCAGGAAACAAAACATTGAGGGGCCATAAAGTATTGTTCAGAGTGGCTTGAATTCCTGATCGGTACACTCCATTCACAAGCAAGCAATGTGGGGGCCATTCAGTTGCAGTGCGCATACAGATGCAAGGGCGGAGGTGTATTGGGCTCTGGCATCTGAATGATGTCCTTGGCATGGTTTAAGCAAGTTTTGAGCACTGAAGCAGTACTGCAAGAGTGGGCAGGGCATGGCCACATCAGAATGCAGGAAAGAACAACTGCCAACTTGCATTCTTAAATAAGGGCAACAGTGATGGGTTTGAAGTTTCTTATCTTGCAGGACTTTGTTGTGGCAGCCTTGGATGCGATGCCAGGCGTCAGAATCCATGCCCCAGATGGTGCCTTCTATGTGTTCCCTGATGTCTCGTCACTGATAGGACCTGATGTCGTGGCAGAGGGGTTTGGTGCTGTACCAGATGGTGATGCATTGTGCAAGTACCTAGTTGAGCATGCTCAGGTGAAGCCCTTGGGCTTAGTATTGCTGTGCATTGTGCAATGCTTGGATGGATCCTTTTTGACACTGTGAATCGTTGCAGCAACCAGGTCACATTCCACATTCAGGGTGTACAATGGAATCCATGTGTTCAGTCATGCTGCACATCGCCGACCATAGTTGTTGTGCCCAAGTTGCCAATGAATGGGCAGCCCGCACCAGCATATGCTGTCAGCAATGTTTATCTGGTGCCGGCCTTCTAGCAGCTTGTTGTTGTTCCCGTTGCATATTATGAGTGTCAGTTGAACGTTGTCTGCGATGCTAGATGCGTTTACTAACATTGAACGATATTGTGCATGTGGGCAGATTTTACTGCCACCCAGCAAGCATGTCTGACCAGGCTCACAGTGTCAACTGGTTCTCTGTTGACCCTTCTGTGTCTGTCGTCCAGGTAGCAGCAGTTCCAGGCAGTGCATTCGGGCAACCAGACTGCATCCGATTGTCCTACGCAGCATCCATGGATGTCTTGAAAGAAGGGCTGAGCAGAGTTGCCAGGGCGTTGGATCCCAGCGTGCTGAGACACCACAACCAATCCTAACTCGGAGTGTTATTCGATTCTTAACTGCTTAAAGGGAACCTGGGCATGGCGTATTTGAGAATTACGATCTTAACTGCTTAAAGGGAACCTGGGCATGGCGTATTTGAGAATTACGATCTTTCCAAAGACCTAAAGAGGTGGTCTGTCACTGCAATTTTTTGTGCTGCCTGAGATTGCCTGTGCGCTTTCCCACTAGGGAATGGTGTTGGGCATTGATGTTGGTGATGCTAAGGCCGGGGACCCATCGCATGCACTCACCCCAATTGCAGCACCGCACTGCAGGGGGGGCAAGGATGGTTTGTTTGGCAGGAATTAAGTTTGATTGCATGCCCGTATTCAGGTAGAGACATTTGCATGCACCTTTAGGGGCAGTGATTGCCCTTGCGGTCTTGTTGGCACTTTATCATGCAGCAAGCATGTTTCAATCGGTCGCGATTCCAATGCGAAGGTTGACTTACTTGGTGTCGTGTGTTGAATCGACGAGTATCCACATGATCCATCGCGTGAGGGATTGTTCGATGTCAGTGATGCTCTCTGGGGTCGGTAGTACTGGTCATCTCTATGAGTGTTGGTGGGGAGATGAGAGGGGCAGGCGTGGTGTCCAGAGCACTGAACGTTGGACACTGCTACACCTCTTGTAGATAGCTACTTGATAGACATAATAAAGCTCCGCTCGCTTCGCTCGCTCGCAATAACAATTTGCTCGCAGTCGTAGCTAGCAGAGCAAAACAGTACGAATGTGGACCTTTTCCTTTCTCCCCTCTGTTGTTGCTATTCCTGAAATCTGCAATGGTGCTTCCCAAATCTGCGGAATTCTGTATTCACCCGTTCCTTGCGCATCACTGGATCTCATGTGTTGCGCACATAAAACTATTGTTGTTCTGTGCCATGGTGCCCCACACGTTGCATTGTGGCACACTGTGCCGCAACCTGGGCCTTCGACAAGCAGAGACGAGCGAGCGCAACCAAGGTTCGGAATGGGAGTCTGCAACAACGTTCACGATGCCATAGGAAACCTATGGCAGTTTTTGCTGTCACTTGGCTCGACGACTGCTGCCTGCTGTCGTCGTGTGGCCCTCATCGTCCTCGACGTGTCTGCTGCCCCATCCCGTGAACGTTTGAAGC